TCTGTCTGTCTGTCTGTCTGTCTGTCTGTCTGTCTGTCTGTCTGTCTAGTTCGGGAATTTGAGAAGTATTCTTCATTTTTTCTTTGCATGCGATGACCGAAAATGCACCGTCATCCTAATTTCAGCCTCTCTCATTCTTTGGTGTTGTCAGAGATCAGGGCCCAGCTGGTGGAGCAGCAGAAATGTCTGGACCAGCAGACCGAGATGAGGGTCCAGCTGCTGCAGGACCTTCAGGACTTCTTCAGAAAGAAGGCCGAAATAGAGATGGAGTACTCCAGAAACCTTGAGAAACTGGCCGAACGCTTCATGGCAAAGACTCGCAGCACCAAGGACCACCAGCAGTACAAGTAAGGACATCCTGATTTCTAAATGCCTGTCTGTCCGCAGGAGGTTTGCTAATGCAGGGAAACAGGCCGCTGATAGACAAAATCAGAAAGTCCAAAGCCACACCATCAATATTCATGTCAAGTCCTAAAACGTCTGATCCACATCTCATAATAATCCAGCAGAGGATCTTTAGAGAGAGCTGAAATCTCCAAATCCAGCCTCCTGCGAAAAGGATATCCAAATCTCCCTGGAGAGGTGTGCCGAGCATGTGTGATCATTACCCAAACGACTGAAGATTATGTTGGAACCGAGAAGTATATGCTGACTGTAGAAACCTTTATTTTGTACCACAACTCATTGTATACAGCAGTGCTTTTTTGTAGGCTAACGAGTCTGAGACAAAGCAGAGTGGGGAAATATGAGGATAAGAGCTGCCTGGTAGCTTTTCTCAGGACCAGTGTTTTGTTTGCCAATACCAGATTTAAGTAAAAAATTGTAGGCTTCGTTTCCAATTTATGATACAAGAGACATCCAACTTTGAGTAATCAGGACATACAGGTTGGATTTGTTCCCCTAAACAACAATTAACACTGGTTAACCCAAAACATCCAAAGCAGGCTATGGGAGAAATGCACACAGACAAATACATTTAATTTAATTTGATATACAGTTTACCTATCTGTGGAGATAAATGAAAAAATATTAAATCCAAGTTAGTTTCTTTCTCCCTGCCTCAGCCCTTCCTCTGTTCACTCTGCATCACATTTCCACCCCGAGCCTTTTTATAGATCTTGACACAGTTAAGCGTGCTGTAGGTTTTTTGGCCTTATTGCGCTGCAGAAAGCAGCTCACCGAGAAAGCAGACATTAGCATAATGTTTCAACTTGTGGAGGGGAGCAAAAAATAAAACAACATGTTTGTCCTCGTTGCCCCTGAAAAGCCTCGGCTCTCCCCTTTAAAGCTCCGATGGCTCTAACAGCTGTGTGTGTCCACGTGCAGAGCTGCTGTGGAGCTTCCAGTATGGCACTCTGTGGTTTTCATTGTATCATGTACAGTCTGGTCACTCCATTCGCAGGGTAAACATTTGCCAAGTGGCAACGAGAATATTTCTTGAGTAAATAGAAGGCGTTTGGAGAAACATTAAAAAGCTTCCTGTGAGTCTTAAATCACACAGTTCATATTTTTGCGTGCGCGTAAACACGCGAACAGTGAGGCCTCAGTCCTGCCGGGGTTGTTTTCTTTGGACAAAGTCATCTGTGGTGTGAAAAAGTGTTTCTGTGTCTTTGTTTTGTTGTGTTTTCCCTATATTTTCGCTGCCTCAAACCAGCCTTCGTACGACAGAGTGTCACGGTACGGCACCAAAATGCAAACGCTGTTTTAGAGCGAGCCCCTAAATCTGGCAATTAGTCCGGACAGGCTGCATTTAACGAGAGAGGCTCCTATTGTGACCGACTGTGAGCCAGCATTTTCCGAGTCGGGTTTACATAAGTGATGCTGAGACAAGTTGACAAGATGTCCTTCTCTCTGTTAGAAACCGCATTGATGTGCAGGATTTGTGTAATGCCTCTCTCCTCAGAGCTTCTTTCTAAAGGCACATTGGCCACTCTAATGGGTGCCTGTTTAAGCTGCCGCTCGGCCACAAGGCGAAGCACAGGTGGAGGTCGACTTCTTCCCTCTGCGGTCCCCCCCCCCTCAACTTCTCGGACTAAAAACTGTTCCCAAAGTGTTTTTTCGAATGCCTCCATAAAAGGACAAAGCTGCATCTTTCTCACACATCAACGCCTCGGGGAAAACATTGGGACTCAGTGGGAGTTCTGTCCGTAGCCTTTTCTCCAGAGTGAAATGGAGTTTGTGAGCAGTCACAGACTGCGTTACCTGTGGGCCATGGCAGTGACTCACGGCTGGGGAAGAATAGATTTAGCTTCAGGGGGAAGCCTGGCTCGGCCGTGGCTGTGTGAAATCTGAAAGGCTGCTGGGGAGACTGCAGCAGGAGACGGATGATGCAAATGCAAACGGTTTTCCGAAGAGCGAGGCTGCATATTGAAAACAGCTCCCCGAGAAATAAATCTCCTTGTAATGGTGGAAGTTTTCGGCGACGGCCCGAGCTGCGTTTATTTTTCACCCCCGTGCAGGAGCCACAGTGGCTCACTATAACAGGAGAATTTATAACGCAACAGGTTAAAATGATCGCTCATTGCTCATGAGCACTCTAAACACTTTAGTCCGTTCTTGTGCAGGTTTGTGTCACACACTGAGAATTCTTGTTCTCTGTAAAAAAAAAAAAATAGTGTGAATGGCTACAAAGACATTCAGCTTCCCTGATGAACACAGTCCCTCCTGCAATAGGTTGCAGCTTCATTTTGTCATGCCTTTCTTACGCCAGTGTGCCACAGTGTGCTCTTAAATCAAATATTCTGTCACTCAAAGATCTTGTTTTTTACATTTATCCATTCTCCTCATCATCACCAGAGAGAACTTAAAAAGTAACAGTCCAAAAAAAGAGAAAAGAAAAAGATTGATAATTGGCGAGTGTGCGTTCAAGTCAGGAAACTCAACTTTAGACTTGCTGTTCAGCTGGTCAGAGCAGCTACATGACAGATTTGGGGGGAAAAAAAGAAAAAAGAAAAGATGTCAGACATAGCCTCAGAAACAGACGGCAGCAGCTTCTCATTAAAACAGATATGTTAGCTATGTGCCAATATTCTTACACAGAAAACGTTTGATGCCACCAGTTTTTTTTGTGTCTTTTTTCCCCCTTCAGAAGACAAAACAGCCGGACAAACATCACAATGCCACGCACACAGCAGGACTCCTGCGCACAAGCCTTTCATTTGTGTATCAATGGCGGTTTGCACAACAGACAGACCCACACACACCAGCATACACAAGCACACACTCCCTTTTCTCTTTCACTCCTTAAACACACACGCGCTAGTGGCCAGATATTGTATAATGCAAAGTTTGTTCAGGGAGGGACTTCGGAGTCACAGAAAAACGACTGGGTTATTTATACTGCCGAAGCCACGCGTGGGACGGTCTTAAAACGACTCCTTTTGTCTGGAATAAGGCTTCGGCTTGGAGGACTTCCTCACTTTGTCTCTTAGGATCAGATGAAGGTGTGGGACATGTTGTGGCTGTGTAAAGTACATAATGCCACGCACGCCCCCCTGGAGCCCGCTGGGTGAGGAACGTATCAAAGCACCAAAGCTTAGTCTTAAATGAAGCCTGTCCAAGCAGGTGACACTCTGCTCTTAGGGATTCAGATCTGGCCCAATCTTTGCTTTTCTTTTAAAGCTGAACTCAGGAAGTCACTCGAAAAGGCATTTTCAGCTACGCTGTCGCTAAAAGTTCCAGTTTCAGTCCCCTGCGCTCTAAAGTGGTAATTATCTGACCATTTCAGCATCCACCTACTCTACGAGAGTGGAAATATGTTGACATTGACTCTAATACTGGTCGATTTGCACAGCATGAGGGGATGGAAGCCCCACATTCCCGCACATGGATCATAGAACAGTTGATAATGAGCTCTCGCTTCACTCATCTTCTTCCCTGCCCCTTCCTCGACATTAGTTTCCCCTTTCGTACCTGGCTCTGAGCCTCCCGGGGGCCTGGCTATCCTTTGGTGAGTGTGTCTGACCCAGTTCCGTTACTGGCTGAGGAGGAAATGATGACATTGAGAGATTTTCCTGCCATTATGTGGGGTAAGCAAGTCTTAGAGGGTGTTATGTTGTCACAGCTTGTGTGAGATCCCCCCCCGGCCTTCTCCACTGCTAATTTTATTTACCAGGCCAGTTTGTGATAACAGAAGTACTTATAGATCCGTTAATATTTTTATCGAAGTCTGCATCCGTTCAAGCCAAAGTTCAGTCATTTTGAGGGTTATTTTGGGTCCTTCCTAGACTTCGGAAGGAAGAGTGCTGCTCCTTTGCCCTTTATGAGCCGTCTAACTTTGAACAAAAGGCTGTTAAAGGCAAAAGATTCAAACCCAGCAGACGTGCTTGCGTCCAGAAATCTGCTCTAACATGACCTGTTTGCTCCCCATAACAGAAAATGACCTTTTGGTTCTACAGTGACAACACGGTAGTGCAGATTTTCAGGAGCAAAAGTACCGCCGTTCAGGTCCAGGAGTGTGTTTTATTCATCGTTCCACCTCCAGCTCCGCTGCCTGGATGATGCATCCTTCTAGACATATTTAGATGTCGTGTTACAGAAGAGAAGCGTCGCGCTATTCTGAGATAATGCAAAATGCAGGCTGCTTTTTAACTGCGTGTGAGAATACTGCCATGTGACAGCTTCACTCACATTCTCTTTTTCTAGCGTTTTCATCCTCTGCCCCTGTCCTATTACCTGCTGTGGCCATAGTGCACACTCAGCTGCTTCCCCCCTCCAACACATCGTTTTCCTGGTGTCTGAAAGATGAATGCTCTCGGATGTTTGTCATATCTACGTGCATGGCCTTTATCAAATGTAGTTTGCTTCCTGTTTTTGCTCAGCCTCGGGGAGCATTTAGCTGGCTGGAATGCTTTTATCAGTTATTCATGTGCCTGTTTTTTTTTGTTGTTTTTTTTGTTTTTTTGCTCTTCTCGCTGATGTGTTTGTAGTTTTAAAGTTTAGTTCAGGGCTGTGTCAGATGCAGAGTGCAAGGTTTCACCTGTTGTGCTGACAAGTGCTGCCTGTCCCCGCAAACCCACTTTGTGAGGCGGAGCAGAGGCGAGTCTCCATATGGTTCCTGCAGGACTTAACCCCAGACCCAGCCTTAAAACCCCTCCAAAACACACAGACACAGACACACACACACTCATGCACATTCATATTCTTTGCTACGTTTTTGTAGAGAGGAGGAATGTTATAGATTAACCCAGAGGAAGTCTGCCTGCAGGCCAGTGCTTACACAGGGCCCCAGCTCCCTTTGGCCTGGACAATGTCCCACAGTTAGATTGGAAGCAGCCTCCACACAGTGCAGGAAATGTCTCTCGGGCAGTTTTTTTTTTGTCTTTGCTTTTCTATTCTTACTCCTTTAGCTCCTCTTTCTATCCCTGTCCTCTGCTGTCACAGGTTATGCGTGGTTGTTCTCTTCTGCGTATCTTAAAATACATCTATGCTCTCTCTAACTTCAGTCCCAAATGTCTATTCAAAGCCTGTGGCACACTTTTTCTTTGGTCTTTTTTTGCTTTTAGGAAGTCGTCTTGTCTCAGATCACCGCAAGAGCTCTGCCCCAAAAATGTCACGGATACGAAAAATTACGATTGAACTTTGCTGTCTTTCATAGTTACGGGGAACCTTTAATGCTCAGAAATATATAGGATGTTTAACACCAAGGGATCCCTGTCACACTGCTGCCCTGGCTTTAAGAAAAGACTCCTGACATGTTTGAACATATTACCGGTGAAAAAACTGTTGCATACTCCTTGTTAGAATGAAAAAAAAATGTTGTTTGAAGGCTGACACAGAAACAGATGAGGAGCAAAACTTTTAAATCCACCGACACAAACCAGGCGTTCGGAGTTATGGAGTCACATCTGACATCTTAGCGAACTGTTGTGTGAGTTCAGTTCTGTGATAGTATGTGTTATTCACATGACAGCAAAAAAACACAGATTTTTTTTATTAGTCTGACCATAACCAGGCATTTTGAACAAATACCATCATATTAGTCTGACCGAAATAATAGGAAAATGTACTTATTAAACCTAAAAAAAAAATTACAGCTGCGTGTTTGTGTGTTCTGTACATGCCTCACATTATGATGTTTTTTCAAAAATCAAAGTGGATATTAATGTTGTTAATGGAGCTGCTTTTCATTGTTTTCCCAGATGTCTGTACTCACCAGAAAGTGTGTCTGAAAATCAGCTCGATCAGACTACCCGCTAACCCAGACTTGTTCAAGCTTTTTCAGCGGCCCGTCCAATAAATGATCCATAATAAGATGGAAGATAATAAATGATCCATAAAAAAATGTCGACCGTGTAACCGGAGCAATATCAGACAAAGGGATTATTCAAATAGCTTAAGCACACTCACTTTCGTCGACGAGCTTTGTCAGAAAACATTGCAAGCAGCAGAAAAAAATGAAAGGTTTTTCAATAAAATCACAGCATCTGGAAAAACTAAACAAATGCACGTGTCAGAGACAAGTAGAGTAAAAAAAGAAAACATTTCATCTCATACCTGTTGTGCTTTTTCTTTCTAGTTCAAAGAGAGAAGCTTATTGAATACCCTTCCTGACACCATCTTTTTTCTTGTCACCCATTTAGAAAAGACCAAAACCTGCTGTCCCCGGTCAACTGCTGGTACCTGCTGCTGAACCAGGTGAGGAGGGAGAGCAAGGACCACGCAACCCTTAGTGACATCTACCTCAACAACGTCATCATGAGGTTCATGCAGATCAGCGAGGATTCCACACGGCTCCTAAAGAAGGTGAGGCTTTCACTTCGTCAAGTTCCATCAAAATACACGCTGCTCTGAATATCTCTGCTGATGAAATTGAAGATTTCTGAGGATAACCGTCGCTCTGAATGGTTGGTACTAAGAAACCATGAGGCTGGCATAGTCGCCTCGGATCATATGTGTCTTTTTTCTTAATTTCTGAAGCTGCAGCCATCTGATGGCTAACAATAATTCAAATTCCATGAGGTAGCTATCACTAACAGGAGGACACATGACGAAAAGCGCGCATATTCTCAGCCACAAGAGTTTGATTTTTTTTTAAAGATCTCCGGTTGTAACAGCTGATGAGTCCCATTTTTGTCATGATGTGGAGAAAACATTCATTCATTGAATGAATGTATTCAACAGATAGGAAGAAGTTTGAGAACATTTTGGACTGATTATATGAAGGCAGCCAATTTGCGGAAGACGTCAGGAGAAATCTCAACCTCCTTGATATTTGGAGTCGGTTTATGAATAAGCATTTTGATCTTTTTTTTTCACTGGCCTGTCATGTGCGTTGCGTTTAACGATTAAACTCAATTTACTTTTATGCGCTAATGCAATTCCCAATAGCAGTGTGTGACTGCATCCTGCTTCCTAGATTTACCATTTCCTGGTCTGTTTCTGCCCTGAAAGCCTCTTTGATTGATTTTGTTTTAAAGCTCTTATTTGAAACACTAATGTTTGACCCAAACTTGAAGAGGTCGAATGGGAGTTTTGCTTTGATCAGAAAGACAGCTGAACTCTCCACTAACACAATCCAGACTTTTTCATGTTGGTCACATGGTCTCCATCATCTCCGATCCCTTGTGTTCTGTAAACAGACTCTCATCTCATTTTCAATTAACCCATTCATTTGACAGCAGTTTCTATTTAGTCGCATGATATGAAGGAAAGTGAATTCAGGTTTGTGTTTGGTGGAGTTGAGCTCTGTTAAGCCCCTGTGGTTTAGCTCAGTGTCTTGAAGTAATGCTGCCGAACCTTGGTCGCCACAGCCTCAGATCAGTGGGCCTTCCCACCACTCCCGCGGCTTCACGACCAAAACCAGTCCGCTGCCTTTTTATACCACAAGGACGACAACTCCCTTAAAGATTATGAACTCCTGAGCTACAGGATCTCACCGCAGAGCTAAATTACAAAGTATCCTTTCATTAGGAGTGCCTTTGTGTCAGTTTAGCTTGCCTAGCGTTTTCAGTTTTAGCCACTTCTCGTGGCTCCGCGCTGTAAACCCGGAACATTTTCTTCACATGTTTAGCAAACGAAGAGCGGATGCTCCTTCATTCACTGACAAACTAATGAACACTTCTAGTAGGCCGCGGCGTCTGTTGATCACAGAGGGGCTTTAGCATAGCAACAGAAAAACTGCAGCACTCATTTCCTTCAGAGAGCATTTAAAAGTTTGTGGCTCTTCTAAAGAAACCAGATGTGCACATTAGAGTACTTTTTGTAGCGGCTAACCCAGTTGTCTTCTCTTACCCAGCATTCTTTGATAGTCCTAATGATAAGTCCTCATAAATGTGCATGTAGGATGTTCACCCCTGAAGGCACTTTTCCGGATCCTTGCTAAATAGTGGAGTGTCTGCTCGTTGCCCCACCTGCATCACCTCTGCGGCGGAATGTGCAGGATCTAACCACTGTCCGGGAATGTTTGTTCCTTCAAAGTCTGCAGTTTCTTTGTGGATCCAGGTGACACTGTGTGTCGACAAGCAGCAGCCTGGTGGGAGGTCACAGCTCCCCCTGTAATTACAGCTTCCCAGAGCCTTTGATCTCGGCAGAGCTTCAATAATGAGGCCCAAACAACAGAGAAGTCCCCCACGTTACATGTGTGCTCCGTCACAGGGCTGAGGAGACAGCTGTACTGTTGTCATCCTTCCAGCACATCAAAGCCCCGAGCTTTTATTTCCTTGTACATTCAGCCAGAGAGAGGAATCCCAAAGTGGCCGTGGTGATGATCAGCATCCTCTGGTTGACCCGTTTGCCATTTGGCGTCCATGTTTATGTCTTCAGTGCTGGATTGTGGACACTTTAAAGCTCCATAGCAGGGCCGTAATTAAATTTAGGCAGTTCAATTCTGTTTGTTTGTAGGAGTCGGGCTCAGGACCTCAGTTTCTTTTTTTTGCATTCTTGTTTTCTTCATGCTTGAAGAAATTTCGTCAAATATATTCAGTTTTCATTATTCATACAGCCGGCTCTTTGTTTTATTCTACCCTGTTTTATTTATGAAAGTCACTTTCTGTGGATACAGCTATGAGGTGGAGTTCCCACTGCTTAAGTTTTGAACCTTTAAAAAAAGGAAAACAGGGCCCTGTAGAAAAAGGAGAAATAGGGCCGACTTTTTTCTCCCTATTATACATCAGTGAAGACAGTAAAAGTGGACGCTCAACTGTTTGTGTTCACTAAGGCAACAATTTCAACTGACCTTTAACCTTACATCATACATGTTAATCATGTATGAAGTGATGCCATAGCCCTCCAATCGTTCTGAATAGCTAACCTATTTGGATTTTATTTAGATTTTTTCTTGTTTAAGAAAAGTTTAATGGTCTGAGAGCAGCCGAAAAAGAGATAGAAATTTAAAGAAAGACTACTTAGGGTGTAAGGTTTTCCATGACTTGTGAAATCCAACCTTTTCCACCCAGACAGGGGTTCATCCGTCAGTTTGATCATTTCTCAGATATTCAAACTATTCTTCTGACATCCAAATAAAAGTGATACATACGAAGTGCATGTGTCATTTGATCTGAGCCCGTGTTATGCTGACAGGGCTGTGATGAACGCTGAGTGCCACACACACAGGCCCTGCAGGGTATACAGCCGCCATTTCTATGCTATGATTAATGTCAGCTGCAATATGAAACCCACCACTCCCTAAAGGCTGCCTCCATCCCTCCTCTCTTGGGTTCTTTCATCTTTCTAATGTGGTTGGAATACAGATGGTATGAACTTTAAAAATGGGAAACCCGTTTGTAGGATCCTCGACATGAATTAGATTGATTTGGAAACCCCCTGTCACGAAGATTCTTTTCAAATGAGAGGGACGACTTTTTGCAAATTAAATGAACGACATTCATCGCATAACACAACATTTGGTAAACAAACCAAATATGTTCGAATTGTGCTTTTTGCCAGAAAGGAAGTAAACCTGCAATGAGTTTTATGCCCTTTTATGCCAAGTCTGTTTTTACTTAACACACAGACAGTCCTACGCGTCATGTGATCTCTAAGAAAGCTTTTCATTGAGCTCTGGATCACTTCCCAGACTTCTCAATAGGGAAGAGCTGATGTGTGTTAGATTGGACACATAGTCAAAGGTTTTGTCCACTTAAATGACCGCTGCTAATGAATTCCACCCAGAGGAAAAGGAACCTGGGTCTTTAGGATTGTAGTAATGAAGTCGTCAATATGCACTGTTCTTGGCTGCGAAAAGGCAAAGTTTAAGGGTGTTTTTAATCCCTTATCTTCACTCTGTTCCAAAACATACCTCAGGTTACCTGGTGCCAGACATGGTTCCTTTAGGTTCTGATTATCCAGGCTTAGAGTCTGTTTCTCCCCTCATTAAGAAAGAGCCGCCAAACAGGGGAACTTCCACACCAGGTGGGGGTTTGGAAGGTGTCGCTGATCAGCCAGTTCACCCAGAGAGACCCTCTAATTTCAGACACCGGAGTGTAATCCTCTTTGCTGTGCGCTCACATGCTTCTGCAGCTCTCCTTGAGGGCGACACGCAGAGAACCGTGCGCACACATCCCGCTCTGGAATGTTGCACATTCACTATTCAGAATAGGCCTCTTACTCATAAAACTGATGCGAGGAAGATCCCTGCTCATGTGGACCATGACGGCAAAGAGTGTAGTCCTGTAAAAAAGAAGGTACAGGCTCTTTTAGTTCGACATTATGTATATCAGGACATAATAAAACAGTTGGGTCTTAAAATGAGGTAAATAACATTTGCTGATCAACAGGAGCTTGGAGCTGGTAGTCAAAGCACCTGAAAGAAATTGAACGGTTCGGCAGTGTACTGGTTTGGTCTGTGTTGCAAAAGGTCAGAAAGGTCAGACCTCAGCAGGGATCTTAAGCTCCTTTTCAGATTTGCCTTTCTCAAGATCAGTAACATCAGAGGCTTCATTGGTCGGTTTTGGTGGTAACTTTCAGTCATTCCGACGCTGGTCACTTTCACATGAATTCATCCCGCTATATTCAAGCACACTTGGAAAAATTATGGAGAGAGCCAAAGTTTGCAAATTTATTGAACAATGCATAAAGAAAGTTATTATATCAAATGTCACAGAAAGTTTCAGATGTCTGCTGAGTGTGCAGTGATTGGTTAAAACAAGCAGCTCAAAATGTCTCTGTTGTACTTGTTTATACTTTGAAAATAGTCAGTCTTGAGCAGTTTTCTGTTAATTTGGCTCAGATACTGAAAATAAACTTGCAGTTAAAGCAACAACGACAGTGTCATCATTTGTTAAATGATTTAGATACTAAAGCCTGAAATATGGTAAATAGGGTGCATCTTTTTTGGATTGTGGTGGGAAAGTTAAGTGGTAGAAGAAGAGACTCTTCATTTTTCATATGACTGCGCAGACCACAGAACCGATGATGTACTTCTGTCATAAGCGAACATCTGTCATGTATCATTAACTTGGAAATAACTAATTGATACCGAAATAACACAATGAGGAAGCTAAAGATTCAGCATCTGTGTATTGGACTCTTTTTAATGGCTGCAAATAAACTCCAATCTAAAATTTCCTTTAATTAAATTGGTTCCATAATAAAAACATAGTTTTAAATCGAGGAATGCCTTCCCTCTCTGTTCATTAATTAATAATAGTTAGATATTGAGCCCATATAACTAATTCATTGAATCTGTTTAATGCATTTAATATTTTATGAACAATCCGGCAATCTACAACAATTATAAAACTAGTCCTGCCTTTAAAATCATGTTGCTTTGCAGCCTGTGAAATTTCCTTTAAAGATTTAGAAATTCAGTTTTGGTTTCTCTCAACAAAACAATATATAAAATCATTTAAACCCTGTATTGACATTTCCTTAACTTTTTTGGCTTTGATCAATTGTAATTTTGCTAGACTTGTTGTCTAATGACCTTTTTAATGCAATGAGACAAATGAGCGTTGTGTTGCTGTGCACCCACATGCGTGATCCCACAAGTTGTTCAAATCACTCAGGCTTTCTACAGATGATTAGTTTGCAGACAACTATTAAACATGAATTTGTTTTTGGCCATTGTGGCTCTAAAACAAAGAATTAAAAAGAAAAAAAACAACACACCCTTTTTCAGTCGAAGTGTTGATGCCCTCTCACAGCCCTCGCACAGCTCTCAAAACAAGATTTGTCTGTGGATAATTGTGTTAGAGAAAGACTTCCAGTATGAGCCAAAGCTGTGACATTATCCAGGTAGCTGCGCATAGTATCAACTGTAGCAGAGGAATCAAAAATTTATTGCTACGAGTCATGATGTCTTAAACATGTGATGCAGTGTACGAGTCGGTGTGAAAGAAATATGGAGGAGCCACAATTAAATGAATAGAAAAGGCTCCTGTAAATCCATCACACCATCACCGTTAAACCGTATCCCACAACCGTGAGATGCATTATGGTGGGCGTGTGTGTGTGTGATTGCATTACTGAGTCAGCCTTCTGGCATGGCTGATTGAGTTAACATACTGGGAAGAAATCTTAGTCGTGGAAGCGGGTTAATGTGTTGAGCATGTGGGCAGTGAAACTGGAGCTGTGCTCGATGGTTTCAGTGAAAAACCTACCAAGACATTGATACCACTTTCGAACACAAACCCTGTATTTGACAAAGTGTGATAAATGAACCGCCCTGTCTCGTGTGCACGCGCACTTGTGTGTGTGTGTGTGTGTGTGTGTGTGTCTTTCAAACATTGCCAGTTGAGAACAGTGTCTGCTAATTTTTACAAACACTCAAGATGTGTGGTGAGAAATTTCATCAAAAAGGTTGTCTCCCTCCTAGATGTTTTTCTGCTATAAAAACATATTAATACTTATTTCTTGAATCTTTTGTTGTGTTTTTGTCTAACTTCCACTTTTTTCTCTTTCAGAGCAAGGAAATAGCTTTCCAGCTCCAAGAAGACTTAATGAAGGTCTTAAATGAGCTGTACACAGTGAGTACCAATTACAGCCTTTTTTCACTAATGCGCTTACATACATTCACCGTATGATTGTGTAATATACCAGTTATAAGCAAAAGCAGTATTTGATACAGTTTCATCTCTTTAACCCGGATTTCTCACTGTGTATCTCACCTTCACGCTGACAGAAACATAATGCTCCGACAGCAGGGGAGGCCTAACCTATTTTACAGAGCAAAAAGCTTAACCCTGATGAGTTAGCTATTAAAGCTGCGACGTATCAAGTTCATGCTTGCTTGAATCATTAGAGTTCATGTTTTGTTTTTAATGGCTCTCATCAGATGTGCTCTGTTGCTTTTAAGAAAAAAGAACCATACAAAGCCACAAAGGGTTTGAGCCAAACACTAACTTGCTGTATAGGTTTTGTGCGCGTGGGCATGTGTTTGTGCAGTCGTTTCTCTTTGGCTGTTTTTCATAGGCCTATAACAGAGATAGATAAGAACCCTGAGAAAAGAGGGAAAGGCAGTATATAAAGGAAAGTTCCATGGACGGAACTGCTTAAGACCGCTAGCCTGAAAGTTATTCTGCATATGTAAAACGTAAGCCACAGCATTAAAACCGCCGTGTTGATATGATCTGAGCCTCTCAGCGTTTCAGTTAAGCAGCTTTGACCTGTCGTGGCATGGACACTGGGCCTCCAGGGTAGTCGTCTGGTGAGATGAGATGTTGGCCTGAGATAAGTTCTGTGGGTTTTCGGGTGGGGCTTCCAGAGCTTCCCCCGGATGCTCGTAGAGATTTAGATCTGGGGTGTTTGGTGGCCAGGGGACATTGCGGTGCTGGGGGAGTCTGCTGCTGCTAAGAGATGGGGGCAGCAGTGATCTGAGATCCACCACAAATGCCAGTGCAACATCCAGGGCTAAAGGTTCCTCTACAGAACATCCTGCCGTTGATCAGTGGATGATCGGTCTGTCAGTGGTGACTTCACCTGACAGTGCTTTTAAATGTTACGGCTGAGGTCAGTGTTTTAAGTAATACACACTACCAAAAGGTCCCCGTAGATACAACGTTCTCAACCCAGACTTTTTTTTAATAAAGCCCAAGTTCACCAGACCATCAAACTCCTGCGTGGACACGCTGTACCTCTGCTGTCCTGTTTCAGAAAAAGCTGTTTTTTAGCTAAGACATGCAGTGCCTCTTCTGTAAGTACCCGTCTGTGTTTATCTGACCTTCCTGGTGCACATATTTCAATCCTGAGTCGATACCTAATTCCATAGCTTTAATTACCACCATCAGCCTGCTGGTCTTAGTTTGACGAGCCCTACATGTTGTGGACTCACCCTCACAGCAACACGGTGAGTTAGAGGGTTTTTATTTCAACATATAACTTAATGAGATATCTTGTGGCTCATACATCAAGTTATTTGCATGCTGGCCATGTCACCAACAGTTATGTGCTTTTTATTTCATTAGTCAATGATGCCATTCCGGACTAACAATCGATAGCATTGTTGCTAACATCCCCATTGATCGTCATGGTAACCTGGGATGTACCGTGACAGAAATACAAGTCGAGTCTGTTGTCGTTGCCTTCCCCAAAGATGGAGGAAAAAAAAAGCGGTTCAGTCCTCCCTCCAGAGGGCCGCTGCGGTTACACTTCCAGTCCACGCCTCTGTTGCCCCAAGCGTTACGACGTGTTACTCCAAACTCCATGAGTGTCACTCTCACCACGGTCCACACTACCGATTTGACCTGGTTTAGCCTCCAGTGACAAAACACACATTCTCACAGGCACACACGCAACGTGCAGCTATTGCATCAGACAGCCCCAGTGCTGGTGTCGGCCCCTGCCAATGAAATAACAGGTCTGCTCCGTCTCTAAATATGTCCCTCTAAAAAGAGCAGTTCAGTAAACACAGCCGTGGTAAGACTCCAGACCAGTAAGTGTGGAGTGCGCGGCCCAAGGTCAGTCACCCATTTCTAAACTGGTTCCAGTTAGGCCAAACCCTATCATAGGAATAAAGGCTCCAGGCAAATCAGGGTTTTACTCAGTTGTTCCAGTCGTACAAAAATAACCCAGTTTGGGGATAAGATGTTTAGATTCCGAGTTGGGTGAGTCTGTTTGTTCAGAAGTTGAGGTTTTGTGCCGACACGCGTATTTTATACACAGGTCGTGGAGCTGTAATTTGCCGGGGTAGGTTCATTCCAGGTTAAACCGCCGCTGCTCCATACTGCCGTCTTCCCCCGGCTGGATTTCCTGCCCTTACACTCTCTTCGGTGTCTTACAAAGCGCCACATACTTACTGGGGAAGCTTACTGAGCTTCACAGATGACCAAATATCTGTCATTAAAAAAAAAGCTGCAACCAAACAGGAGATTCCGACATCAAAGGTTATTTCACACAAAAAGAAAAAATGTCTACATAAGCTGATAGTAGATCTTTTTAAGATTTTAACTAATTTACAGAGTCATTTTCTGTCAGCCTATTTACACCGTGTCCACTTTTCTCCTTTCATTTCCATCCATTTCCTATTTTAGTGTCATATTTTGTCCCAGGTCTGCTTGACTTGTCTCAATTCTTCGCATCTTTTTATTCCATCATTCTTCTCTGAATTCTCATCTTTATGGGAGATTTTGTGACTTATACTAATGACCTGCTGTTAGTGTCATTTATGTGCCTCAAGATTTTTCCCACAGTCAGTGACTCATCAGCGCTGTCATTAAAACAGACATTTCCTCTCTGCTGTGGTTTCATTTTCTTCCTACAAGCTCCCCACTTATGTAGCACACTTCTTATTATATCTGTGCTCTCAGTATGAAGTGACACTGATCTGAATCACATACTGAAATGAGGCTGGTCACCCATGTAGGACACACAGACACTTCAGGGATTGCCCATACGGGTCTCTACCAGCAACCCCCACCCCCCCCTTTTCACCTGCTCCTTAAAAATGAGTCACTGCCAAATGGATCTCTAAAGTGGCATGAGTAACACAGGGAGAGCGTGATGACTCAAACTCTACGAAGGTTTCCGTCGACATGATCCATTTCCGAAATAGTAACAATGTGGTTAGACGGAGCTGGAGGGGCTCAGCTCCGCTCCATTACGGCTTCAACAGAAAGAAAAACAATAAAATAAATGAGTTTCATGGAACACAAAATGATATGCTAAATACAACATCATGCCAGAAAGTCCTTCTCGCATCTGTTATCATAAGCTTTAGTTGAACCCCTTTAGTTACTTTGACTTTATTTGAGCTGACTTTAAAGATACTGAAAGGAGCAGCCTCCATTGTAATAAGAGCCTTCCAGAGTTCTCTTTTAACATTATAGGCAGTGTGTTAGATTTAGCTTCCACTGATTTGTGGTTATTGTGGTCATATAAGTGCCTCCTACAAGAAGGCTGGAGAGAATCTGTCATTGGTTGTTGGCTTAAGGAGAGACAGCTGCGAGATGAGTTGAATCGATAAGCGATGATGAAGGAGCAGGTCAAAGGACGGAAGCATTGGCTGGGGGTTAAAAAAGGTCAACGACGAGTCCGAGGATGGATTATGCTGACCTTTGACCTCACTGAAACAGACAGGTCCCTCAACTTTTACCTTAACTGAGGACAGCACGGTCTCTGAAACTTGTTGGTTTTCTGTCTTTGTCTATAAAACAAAGGCCCATTTTTTCCTGTTCTTCTAATTTCAACTCCTGTGTGTCCAGGTGATGAAGACCTACCACATGTACCACTCGGAGAGCATCAATGCTGAGAGCAAGCTGAAGGAGGCTGAGAAGCAGGAGGAGAAGCAGATTGGCAGGGGCGATCCTGTCTTCAGCATACGAATGGAGGACAAATACCAGAGACGCAGCTCTGTGAAGAAGATCGAGAAGATGAAAGAGAAGGTAAAACAACACTTTTTACAGGCCAGAAATGTTTTCATTCACACAGTGGCAGTTAAATTCAAACAGGATCAGCGATAGTGCATTTGTTCTTTTTATTGGCCTCTTAAAGTAATTTAAAGACACCAAAACCTCTCACACTCACATATTCTGCGGTCTCTGTATCAGATTTTGTTTTTACACTGAAGTCTTTCGGTCCTGCATTCCGTCACATCTGAACACGCTGTAAATTCACAGGAGAAGAATGTAATTTGTTCAAATTCTGTAAATGATTCAAGATTTGGGGAATGGATTGGTTCAACACGGCTTTTCCAGGAATACCAATGCTAAAATGTGAATGATATGGGAGTGTGAGTCAGGACCCACTGGTCAGTCTGTGGAGGATGACTCATGACCTCATGTGGGTCTGGTTCTGCGTGAAGACGAGTGGCTCATACTGAGGAGTCTTTATTTAAGCGGAGGACTGAATCTTATTAAAGTTTAGGAATGATTTGTTAAATCTCCTATAGTTTTGTCTTATATTATATGTAACAGAAATGCGCTTAGTTTTGCTTTCACTTTAGTGAAAGTGTTGTTTTCCAGTCTCTGTTCTGTGGCTCAGTGTGCATGCAGAGACATAAAAGCATAATCACTCGTCAAAAGGCAATTCTCCTCTCATTAAATCCACCCTGTCTCACTCACTCTGATGTTTCTCATTTTCGCCTCTAATTCCCTCATCAGCGTCAAGCCAAGTACTCTGAAAACAAGCTGAAGTCGATCAAAGCTCGGAACGAATACCTGCTGACACTGGAAGCGACAAACTCGTCCGTTTTTAAATATTACATCCACGACTTACCGGACTTAATTGATGTAAGTATTAAGCCATGTGTTCCTTTTGTTATTCTGTTGGCCATGTTTTGAGTCAAACAAGACTGGGGAAAGTGCTGCTGTTATCAGTGCTTACTAAGGAGTCTTCTTCCCATAGACTTTTTCTGGATTAGAGGCAGGTTTAAAATATTTTTGTGTCGAGATGTATTCAATGACCTTTTGATGATATTTAATTTTCATCATCAGAGAAGCTGATAGATTTAGCAGCTAGCGTTTTAAACATCAGACTGCAGGAAAAATGAAACATAAACTGTCACTTTTTTGAAAGAGCCTTTTGCATCTTTTCTGAATAAAGCGTTGAAGGAGCCTCTGTTAGTTCCGATTTTTATGTTCCATTAAGCTGGCAAACCCGACTTATTTGGGATTTGGCTCACCTTGGTTGTTAGTGTTTTTATTTGGAGAAATAAAGTTGCAGTATTACTTTTACTGGCGTTTCTAAGGTAACAGGAGCAGGTCGGGCTTGTAGCTAGAGTTTGGGGTTTTATATTCAAGGCAAGACTGAAGGAGGGAGAGACGTGCAGCCTCTCTTCGGCGGCATGCTGTGTGCTAAAATTACCCCTCTTCCTGCTTCGCTCACAAGCCTTCACATCTCACCAGGGTGTGTGTATGTGTGTGAGCGAGTGGTGTTGTGTGGGATGCACTCTGCATGAGCTGTGTGTGCAGGCTCACACACATTTGTTTATTGATGAGCAGACTTTTTCTGTCTGAAAACAAAATGTAAAAGCCGGCCAGGGGCAGAATTCTCTTGCAGTTTTTCCGGCCTTTCTTACTGTGTCTGTTTTGTGTGTTTGTATTCTCAGGATAACTGAGAATCTAGTTGTTGAAAATCAGCATTTGAGTATGATGATAACACTCAACCTATCTTACACGTCTCGCTCGGGAAAAGGCAAATTTGGAAACTTGACGTGTGAAGGAAAAGATATGACATTTTTATATTTTCTCCAGCAGTTGGACAGAATGGAATGTGGACCCTTCAATAGGGCCACAATTTGTGGTCAAGATTTGATATTTAACGTCAGTCAGAAGGCAAATGGGAGCTACCAACATGATAACTGACATGATGCTATTGGAAGCAAATTTTTTACACATTTTATTGTTGTTTGCTGAGTTTTAACATTTTTATTTGGTTGTTATTACGTCGGATGAGTGTTTCTGTTTTTTAAAAACATGTCATCACTTGTCCTGTATTGTGTTTTTTTCATAGTGCTGCGATTTGGGCTACCACGCAAGTCTAAATCGGGCCTTGCGGACCTACCTGTCGGCAGAGTACAACCTGGAAACGTCCCGCCACGAGGGCCTGGACATCATTGAAAATGCAGTGGACAGTCTTGACCCCAGAAGTGACCGACAGAGGTTCATGGAGATGTACCCTACAGCCTTCTGCCCACCAGCCAAATTCGAGTTCCAGTCTCACATGGGGGACGAAGTATGTAGTGGTCATGTCTGTTAGTTAGAGAGTTAGACTGTTCCTGATTTCATTGGCCGATTCTTTGCAGTGACACCTCAAATGATTCACGGTTTATGAGAAATGTCTTACTCTCAATTAGGCTGATGTGCAGCTTTTAAATGCAGCTTTTTATTGCGTCTGTGCTGCTGGTTTTACGGGGCTCTGAATTTGACAAATCATGTGTTATTTCTGCCCCTGCAGCCCCGTAGCTCCACATGTGTTCAGGGATTTTATTGTTTGGCTGGCACTTCGCTGATATCATGTCCGTTTAGTAGCTGTTGTTCTGTGGCTGTCTGCCCTCGGCTGGCTGACGTTACTGTGGTTTGCTCCGCAACTGAAGAAGAATGTGGATACCTACACCCCGTTTGAACAACAGCTGCCTCAGAGACCATGTCCCTGCTGTGAAAATGTCAAATTCTGGTCAACAAAGATGTTTGTCGTAGTCATCCATTTTTTTTTTCTTTTTAGGTTTGTCAAATCTCAGTGCAGCCACCGGTGAACGGGGAGCTCATCCTGAGGTTCCAGCAGCTGCTGTCGCGCCTGGCCACCCTAAAGATTGAAAACGAAGAGGTAAGATAACGCCATAGAAAATTCTAACTTCAGATATCTGCAGTGTGCTCGAATTGCTTGAATTAAAGCTACAAAACAAAGTTAACTTTCTCCAAAAGTCATCCAAGGTGAGACATAAAATAGCTGTGGATGATCTTTAAAGATCCTCCAGCGTAGTGCACACACACAGCACAAACTGACACTCGCCTTTATACACTATATTTTGCTCTCTTGTTCCCTGCAGGTAGTCGTCAAGTCCTCACTGTGAAACCTCTTTCTTACACCTGCTGCTAGAATTCCCTCTCTTGCTTATATTTGCACAAACCTGCTCCGCTTTGCTCTTTTTTTTGTCATATTAGATGTGTATCTTTCTTCACAGGTGGTACTGTTTTAATATGTTTGGAGCAGGCTCGAGTAACTCCACATTTGTTATTGAACAAAAGGAAGAACGGCTGTGACACTGCTGCTTCGGAGTGCAGTCACGTCTATCGTGCTTCTTTTTCAATCCCATCTGACCCGTTTCCCCGTTTGAGCTCTGCTGTTAGTCTCCATGGTTCTTTCCCCCTCACATTGCAGCACCTTTTTTCTCATCCGTTCCCCTCAAAAGGCGCAGAAACACATCTCTCAATTCCCCTGACATCGACCGCCATTTTATTTCTGTGTTGATCATACTGTCGTATCTTTAGTGAGAATGACTGAAAACACCCTTCGTGTTTTCAGTGGACGTATCATCGGGATGTAGCATAATCATGGAATATAATTGAGTTGTCTAATTTATCAAACTCTCTTGTTAGGTTATTCATCACAATATTATAAAGAGCTTGTAGAAAGATGTAGACTGAGGCAACAGGTGTGTGACTGATGCAGCTGCATTGTTGCTCAGGAGCATGTCGGTGTGTATCATTTTTCTGATGAGAGGACAAGGGTGAAGTATGTCTGGTGCCATGACAATGTGTCATGCTAATGCTTCTGACTTTCTCTTTAGGAGGAACTTGTACATAAAGATGTTGCCAAAGCAGCTCTGCAGACGTGGTTACGATCAGATCGGAGTGGTAGTCTGGATATGCTTTAAGGGACCCAGAGTTGACAAACAGCCATTCTTGTGCTCATCAAAGGAAAGGAAATACGGAATCTTCAGTATGGAAATCAGAGCAGCAGAGCAGACTGTACACGGGAAGGAGTGACTCGCACCTCAAGAGTGTTTTTTGTAGCTTCATGTTGTACAACTTGGGTCACACTTACTTGTATTTAGAAGGTTTTGCTTCAGTCAGACTGACTCCATAGTTATTTGTTTATTTTCAGGACACATGGAACTCTGGTTGTTACAGCCCAAGTAAACTTTTTCCAGCATTTCTTTCTTTCTTTCTGGATAATACGGCTTCCATGTGGCAACAATTTTGGGGGAAAGAGTTCAAGGTGTTGATGCATCTTCAGAATGATGTAAAACAGATGAAGCAGCTGCGACGCATGCCGGAGAAGTCAGATACCAGGAGGCCTGCTATCACTGGACTTTAAAGACATCATGTCACCTTTAGAGAGTCTATGCTGGTTAGAATTCAAGAGGCTGTTTTGGCTGAATCGTGTGTTCTTAGGCTGGAGGCTTTGGGGAGTAAAGGTCCTAGTATCTCACTCATGCCTTATATGTCTGCGTTTGTGAGGGCGCTAAAAGAATCTGAGTTAATCAGCTATGCAGAATGCAACACCGGTAACGTCCCAGATATGCAGACTATGTCTGTCGGATCAAAGAATACCTTCAGAAATCTTATCGTGGACTTTTAGAGACACAGTTTGTGCCGTTTATAGCCCGGAGCAGTGAAAATAAGCAGTTCTGGTGGGAGCCCAGAATGTGCTGTTTGTGCAGCAGTAAATCCACACCGACCTCGGCCCTGTCGGTGGCGTCACACCTCACACCGCCTGCAGTATGTCTGAGCACCAACAAATGCGCCCCTGTCAATATGTGTGTGTGAGCTGGCAAGCACTGGTTGCTTCTCGTCCTTGTCCGCCTGCCTCGCTGAAGCGGATGTCCTGATGGGTCAGAATTGGAGGGCTAGCATCAGCAGATGGCCTCTCTTCCTGGGCATGGCGTGCCAGATACATCCTTGGAAAACGAGCTTTCAAAGCCCCACTGCGACCTACAAGCTCAAACGCATGAGAGGGAAAGAGAGTCTGTCTTTATCTGGACAGGAAAAGGCTACAGGACGGAGCTCAATAAAAGAGCAGCTGCTTCCTTGAAAGCCTTTGACTCCTCTGAAACGAGGAAAGAAAACGTCCTGTATGGCTGACTTTGCGTCACTGATGGGCGGGGCAGAACATACAGAGGATTACTCTTGGTTTAGCTTCTTTTTTTGTTCAGGTGTTATGGCTCGACACACCTCTGCAGGAGGTCTGACTGCTCTAATGTCAGCCGTTTTTTCTCTAAAGAAGCCTTATCTTCAAATGCATGATTAGTTTCAACTCCTCAGCATGCCAACGTGCTTTGTCTCATTTTCAGATTGATTAATCTGCCCATTTAGATCTCATTCGCCTTCTCTATGACCCAGAGCGCACGCAGACTAATTTCCTTCCTCTGGTGTCTGTCATCTTCTCAGCAAACATACAAGCCCACTGTGATGTTTTCCCGAAGATGCCTCATACTTAACTCTGGCAATCTAATACCATCTGCTTTGGAGGAAGTGTTTGTTTTTCTCCAGATGAATATCAGGGAGGCACATCAAAGTCTGTGTGTATTTGTGTGTTGCTTGATTATCTGCAGATAACTCGCTTAACTACAGGGTATTTTGAAAGCCATTGGACTGACTTGTGATTTCTGAAATATGATGATGGATATTGAAATAACTGTTAAGTGATGTGTTAGTTCTGACGTGCTGCATTACACTTATTGAAAACATGGTGCAGCCTCAAGTTACTTTTGGCCCATAGATGAAGACTTAAGATGCACTTATACTCTGTTGACTATTAAGAATATGAATATACCTTTGGAAATAGTTGAGTCATGTATTTGAAAGTAAGTAAATCTGTATTAACTTCATCCCAAACGACGTAGATCGTGTCCGCTGTGCAGCTGAAGGGGACTGATGGGCATATCCAGCAGATCTTTCTGAGAGCTCACTTGTCATTGAGCCCAACAATGTGCGCTGGTAACTTTTGGTCTGCTGAATAATGGATAAACTCAGCAGCTATTTCACTGGGAGCAATTCTCTTGCATGCATGGCTTCTGTCTTCATATGACAGCTGGGCCTTCTGTCTCGACATGGCCACCCGGGATGAGGCTGCCAGGGGCTGAAGAAGCCCCAACACACTCAAAATGTGTAACTAGTGAGGGAATGTCAAAATACGTTAACGATTCTAAGGACCTGCCATCGCAGCCTCACATGCTTATTTTTCTATGTAAAAGAAATATACTTTAAGATTGTAAAAAAACAAACAACAACGTTTCCTTCCTTCCCCTGCTTGATGTCATTATGCATGTTCCAGCCCGCAGTGTTTTTCTGTTTAATGACAGGTTGGATAACAGAGTAACTACATCCATATTGTGCGCCCAAACACATATGTCAGCGTTGTAATCCATCACGACAACACATGAAAGTGCTCTGTAAGTTTAGGGTGTTTTTTCTACTTCTTTTTTTCCTCTCTTGTGATGGCTAAATGACTCACAGTTCAAGCAGTTAAAACAGAAACAAGCTGTAACTCTATTGTCTCCATTTGTCTTACTACACCAGGAATACCCTGTTTTTTTTTTTGCGTTCGAGCTACATAACGTCTCAGAAGTCGGATCCTGTTTGATCACAAAGAACAATTTGGACAAACTTGCATTGCACGCAGGACTTTCTTGATCATTAAAGCTTCCACAGTAGAACCGACACAGTCGCAGTACTTTATTTTCCACCAGAGTCTCTATAGGAAGTGGTCAAAGAAGCGTTTTGATGGATTCTTCCAGAAAGGTGCCTGTCAGTGTTTCTACACCAGCTGGACTTCTTTTCTGCTGCAGCCTTTCCACATCACTGACTTGACACTTGATTGTTTCTACAGTCTTCTTCGATGTGTGCTTTTTTCTTCCTCTATTTCTATGATTTCTCCTTACCCTTTTTCAGAGTCTTGTACGGAAAAGGTATATATTAATGCAATTTTATAATCCATGTTTGCAAGTGACTCTGTTCGCTCTTAATGTCCAAACCCTAACCTCTAGAATATTTTTCATTACAGTATCATATTAGAGATTCTCATACTCGAGACTCTTAAGTTATTCCTGGGGTGCAAATATCACTGTTTAATAGACACTCTTGGAAATCTTGAAATATCCATTCAAATGCATTCAAATATTCTTTTATCCTACAAAAACAGTACTAACACAACTGCTACTTTCTTCTTAAATGACCTTTTTGTGTTCTGTTTTTCTGGTCTGGTCTGCACTATTATTCAAGTTTTTATCTCAAAGGCAGAATTTAAGCATCGTGTCCATCACATGCTGTTTATGTGATCATGTAAAGGACGCCCTCACTTTGTGCAGCACTTGGACTACTTGATGATCATTTGCAGTAAGTGAGGTGGACACGTAGGCAAGGCCAACTCCTGATGGTGTATTTGCTTTGGGAGAAGCTAGGTTGACAGCGTAGAGGCAGATATGGAAACAAATTTTAAAAGCCTCTGAGTGAAAGTGCCATCTCAAGCCAGCACCGTCCACCTCCGGCCCTTTTGAGTGCATGCTAATTGATTGCTTTGGCGGGCAGTCATGTTCATCAGCCGGTGGATTTTTAAGAACTGTATGACTTGTCAGAAAGCACCTGAATTTTTCAGGGTGTCAAGGGATGCAGGGCGTGCTTTTAAGGAAGTGTGTTGAAACAAGCTGCTAGGAATGGTGTTATGGCTGCGTGATAGAGAAGAGATGACATTAAGCTTTTAAGGAGGCTGCTTTTTTCTTTTTTTTTTTTTTGCTCTTAAGGATTCTTCAACTTGTCATCAACAGGTCAAAAAGACATCTGAGGCCACCCTGACCACCATCCAGGATATGGTAACCATTGAAGACTATGATGTGTCTGAGTGCTTCCACCACAGCCGGTCCACCGAATCGGTGAAGTCCACTGTGTCTGAGACGTACCTCAGCAAGCCCAGCATTGCCAAGAGGAGGGCCAACCAGCAAGAGACAGAACAGTTTTACTTCATGGTGAGTGGGACTGAGACTTATTTCTAAAAGAACACATTTCTTTATTAGCGTAAACATTAGATTTTACTTTCAACCTATGAAGATTTGGCAAATGGGGTTTTTCTACCCCGAAATATCTCAACTTTGTAAAGCAAAGTGCAATCTTGTTCCAGCGGCTTGATGGACATTGTCTGATAAAGGCTTGAAAAGGCTCTCGTTTGTCCTGTGCCCTTGGCTGCCTTATCATAGCTTACTGTCTCAAGAGCTGGCTCTCTGGCTGGCACTCGGGGCCACCGTTTAATTAGTCTCAATTCTCCACAGAAATTCCGGGAGTTTCTGGACGGCAGTAATCTTATCTCAAAACTGCAGGCCAAGCATGACCTGCTGAAGAGGACCCTGGGTGAAGGTATGGTTCCATTCCCTTTACTTCCCTTCGGCCAATCTTCAGGACACATTAGCCAACAACAAATATCTGGTTGTTGAATTGTGTCTTTTTTTCCACTGTCTGATAGTGGTGATTTAAACCTTTTCAGTGGCAAACTTCCCAGTGTTGACCTTTTTCTGAAATCCCTCACAGTTCTCTAGATGCTAATCTGGGTTTTAGCCAGTCACGCCATAGCTGAGGGGGATTGTGAGCTTCTTTTATCCATCTTGATTTTTTCGAGCTCTTATGAGTTGAAGGTATGGGGGTCACTTCAGTGGGTGCTCCTTGTTTTACACTGGTGGGAACTCAGTTAGTATTTGTCAGTCATCATTGCCCTATCCTCCAGTCTAGGTGGTCTCTGTGAAATGACCCTCTTGATTAGTAGCGGAGTGGGGGTCTAATGAGGGACAAAAAAAAAAATTCTGCTTTTCCCACATTGTTCTTACTCATATAACTGTCAAAGAGCTAAATAGCAGTTTGAGTCAATTGGGTACAGAGACGGGTCATATCCTGTTCTGAGGACCAGATGGCAACCGGTTTGAAACGTCTCCTGTTTGGAAGCTCTACTGAACTTAATCTGACTTGTTCTAACTTGTGTCTTTTTATTGTCCAGTAATTGTTATTGTGTCTGCATAGTAAGGTAGCATTACATGTGCTTGTAGAGTGTTTATACTGTAATAAATGAAGCTGGTACTCAGTTCCATGCAGGAGCGTGCATGTGTGCAGTATAAGGAGTGTGAATGGGTTTTGTTAGTGCTGCTTTAGAGGCCAGCGGTTGTGGACAGATGGCAGGTTTCAAATGCTCTTCTATCCGGTGCACATTTCACTGTGGGGACCTCAGAGACATGCTCTGGCATGTCCACACCACTAGCCTCACCCTCACGTCTGTCTTTTTTTCTTCTTGCTGCAGGCCATAGAGCTGACTACATGACCACAAGGTAAAACGCACAAACACACACTGCTACATGCACACACAAAAACACCTGTGAATGCTAAATGTACACTCCTTTAACACTGACAGAAACTCTTACAAAATGTTACAGCTTTGAAGTGGTACATGGCCTCATTTAAGGATTGCTTTTCAATGTAATCCAGATCAAGAGTTTTATTTTTCCCTCCATCTTTAAACGTTCGCCATCTTAGGATGTCTCTGTCTTGAGGCAGAAGTATCAGTTTGAATGTAACGACAACTACGTACTTATTATTAAGTATTATTATTCTTATTATTATGCATATTAGCTGCAGTATGAACAGACTACAAAACATTTCTGGCTACATGTTGCCATAATTCAAACTTAAAATAGTTTGTTTTTTCTCTGATAATAAAAAAACAATTCTGAAATTTGGGGCCATGTGTTCCAGGAAACTGCATGTTTATCACATTGCAGATTGCAGCCCTTCCCTAATAAGGCCTAATTATTTGAAAGGCCTTCTACTTTGGAAACTCATTTGTTAATCTATTTCAGAGTTGTGTAAAATAACAAGAGCAGATCTGCTGTGTTGCTCTTTTTAAAGACCCCTTCAGGCAATTCCAGTTAAATAGTATGCATAGCTGTGATTGAGCGGGAGAGCTGACCAGAGTCCTGGGCTGTTTTCATCTCCATCCTACAGGTCACAGGAAGCCAACCAGCATTATGTCATTCACACCAACGCACAAATTCAGACACACTAAAAAAGGCTCCTGCAGAGCCTGACATGAGCTGAATGCTGACACACACGACACCCCCAGCTGCTCTGACATTTCTCTGAGACCTGTGATATCTTGTGGACAAAAGAGAAGGAAAAACGTTCATTTAAAAGTTAGTTCAGGGGTTTCAGAGGTGTCTGAAAATACACCTTTTCACCTGTGCACCAAGTGGAGTAAAGGCGTTTTCAAGATTACACAACCTCATCCTCAGTGCAGGTGTTTTAAGGACAGCGACCTGAGATAAGGCACTCAGAGATACACCCATGTTATCTGAAAACTGCCTTGTTTGCTTAATCTAATACTTTCTTTGTATCCTAGACATCCCAATGGGCTGTTCAAAACCCTCACAGGCACCCGGCGGGCTAGACCCCGCTCTGTCTTTAATGTTAGATTATTTAATGGTAATTTGGAATCATTTATCAAGGTACTGGTTTACAATCTGCTGATTGACTTTACTCCGTCTCTTTTCCTCCTCTCTATTTATTCTGCTCTGGCTTTCTGACCACGATGGGGGGGTTCCTCCAAAACATCTTAGCTGATTTGTTACAAACCATAAAGCAACAACACCACCGTGCTAAGATGGATCCTAGAAACCTTCCTAACGAGTCAGGGAGCCTCGGCGCTCTGCGGGCTGAGATGTAGGCTGGCACTGATAGATAAGGAGGGCCGCAGGAGGGGGCGGAGGAGCAGCTGGAGGGATGAATGTTTGTGGCCGTCAGCTCCCCTGGCTCACTCTTGACCTGGCATCACTGAGCTGCTCTGGCAGATATCCTCACCCAGAGAGAGAGCAGGGGCCGGTGGAAACAGCAGGGTAAATGTTAGTCAGGGAGTGAATGCCAGGCTGATGAGGTGTGCTGCCTCCCCCCTCCGGCCTCCTCACCTTCTCTCACTGGTAGCCTGGTTCTGTCCATTTCGCATTGTTTACGTTGGGGTTTGATGCCGGCAGATGAGTGGAATGAGGTGCTTCTCTTAGCAAAAGCTTTGGTGGGCAGCTGCTGTGGTCCTAATCTGGTTCTTGCTTTTTTTCTCTTTTCTATCTCTCTCTCTTCTCTCCACCTATGACTCCCCTGATATTCCTCTGTAGCCGTGGACGACGGAACTCACATACTCGACATCAGGTACACACTCTGAGGCATGCTTGGGGTGGGGGGGCTTTTGCTGCTTGCCTTTACTATTTTCCTACATTTCCTCTGCAGTAAATACTTTGACAGACTGACTTGAAGACTTCCATCTTCCAAAAAGAAAATGTTCTGATGTTCTTGAAGAAGCGTTCTGGTTTCAGACTTTTGATTGAGTTTTCTAGATAAAAATCTGCTGGAAGAGATTGCATTACATAACATAGCTCCATCCAGACCTGTGCATCAAACCTCACGGCTCCACTCCAATCGATTTTGGCATGCTTGTTGTGTTTGGGCCTATTGTAAGCCCCAGAGGGTTGTAAACAGATCCACTGTAACATTTAAAAGCATGTACTGAGTCACTGCTCAACCCTGAGTCGCAGTAGCAGCTGCCCCTGAGAAAGAGCAGCACCACAGTCCAAACTCAAGTACGTGAGAGGAGGATGTCCCTCTACCTCCCATAAACACTTCTGCCTGGAGCTCCACTTGGCACTGTGTGTTTGCTTGTTTAAAATCAAGCCCAACACGTTATTCATTCAGAACATTCAGACAGAAATTACCAAAACTGGAGTCCAGCTGAAATGGATTGGAAAACATTGATGTGCATGCTTCTTTTTTTTTAATTCCATAAATTGTTATGCGAGAACAAATGAGAAGAAGTCAACTCAGTCTGTCTCAGTAAGATTACAAGAAAATAACACACTATGTGTCCAAGCATACACACTTTATCAACACTGAATATATGCATGTTAAATTAAAACATTATCTTGCCCATCAGGCATTAGATTTCAACGATCACATTGTGGTCCAGAGACACCTATCCGTGTCTCAAACTCATTGAGTCTTAATAGATTAGATTTTTCTTTTGTCATTCTTATTCATAAACAGTCAAATTATTTACATGAACTATATTGTTACCATTTCTTGGTTTCAAAAAATCATTTTTTTCAGCTTATGAGTGTATAAAAATAAAAACATCTGCCAATATAAGATCATATCTAATGCTTTTATTTACATATGATATTAGTCAAACTCTAGCTCAGATTAATTAGAATATGACTAAATTATACATAATCTGAAAAGTTTTTGTTTGATTTGCCTTGAAAGGACTCTGGACAAGTTATCCCCCGAGTGGTTGAAAGCTGCATCCGCTACATAAATCTGTATGGTGAGTCACTTAACCCGACTTAAGGATTGTCAGTCATCCATGATCTTTATATTTTTCTTTGATTAATGTGTCTCACAACCAACTCTTACCTTTGTCATTTAAGATTGTATTCATTTTCAGTAAGAATTATTATTGGAAATGGTTATTGTTTGTTATTTTTTTGTTAGGGTTTTTGCACTACAGTCAGTCAGTTTTCTTTTCCAAGTTGCATGACAGACTGCGAGGCAGACAACTTACAGCAACTGCAAACAAGTATAAATAGTGATAACTGATTTTTAATCAAGATTGGAGAAGACACCCAAAGAATTTGAAGTCAAAGCGTGTAAGGCTGTGACAGATGGGGTGGGGTGAGGTTCAGGGAGAAATCCAAAGGACGGAAAACATCAAACTAATTTTGCTTTGTCCTGCTTCTTGTCCGCACAACTCAATTCCAGCCGGAACACACTTGATAGCAGTCTCACAGACTCATTATTATCTTCGATTTACAAATGGAAGGGGCTTAATGAACAGGATGTGCTTTTAAGCTCCAACAGAGGAAGCTTTGTTTGTTTAGATCTAGATATGTAAATACATGATCACATGACGGCCATCAAAACTTAACCAGCATATTTTGTCTCTGCTTGCCTCACCTTGTTTATGTCCTTTTATGAAGCTCTGTCTCTGTCTTTGTTTTTGCCTCAAAAGGCCTCCAGCATCAAGGAATCTTTCGTGTGTCTGGCTCCCAGCTTGAAGTAAATGATATCAAGAACTCATTTGAAAGAGGTATCAAACTCATTTTAAAGAACATCTCCACTTTCTCACAATGTTTTCAGTATTATTTACAACTGTATTTGATTTTTGTCCTGTAGGAAACGACCCTCTGACAGATGATGAGGATAATCATGACATCAATTCAGTGGCCGGCGTTCTTAAACTGTACTTCCGTGGTCTGGAGAACCCTCTTTTCCCCAAAGAGAGATTTAATGATCTGCTGTCTTGCATTAGTAAGAACACATATTTCTACTGTATGAGTATTACTCTGTAATGAGAATCTTTCTTTGTTGTTGATAATGCCTTAAGAATGGGTTTGCTGTTGGATCTTTCTCTCTTTTTTTGGCATAGCAAAAAAAGAATGAAAGCAAATTTGTGTGGTTATGCACAAATTACACTGTTTGTTGAGCAGCAGATGTGTTCCTGAAGAATAGCTGCATTATCCAGTTTTGTAAGCCATGTTTTATTCAACACATGCACTCAATTAAGTTTGATTGTGGAAAGTATTTTTTAAAATACAACTTTTTCATGGATTTCCATTCCGAATACCCTCCATTTAGTATCATCATTGCTCTCCACCACAGCAACATAAGGCTAACATTGCTCTTGTTCCCAGTTCTTCTTTGGTGGTGTTTTACAGCAATATAATCTAACGCAGCAGTGTAGCTGTTAGTTGCAAAACACCCAAATATCCACAAAGTCCACAACTATGTCTGTGACTTTATGTGTAGTTTGTCCCTTAAGCAAGCTTTTGTGGACTGTTCAGTGTGTTTGAGTGTGATCCCTGGTGTACCCTCACACATTTATGCTGGATGAGTGATGGGGATTCCCTGTTTACATTCCTCTACTCAACGTGCCAGTGTCTGCAGTGTGGGCTGAATGCCCGGCAGGCTCCATATCAAACCCGCTATACGATCACTTTTCCATTTCGCTCCGCTCTCTTCTGTTTTTTTTTTCTTTTCTGCTCGTCATAGCATGTAAGCGTAATCTTTGGTGATTGGAACATGTCTTGGAAAAGTAGTGCTGGCTAAAGTGCTCAAGAGCCACATAGGATCTTAGTTGGGTATTCATGAAAAATGAAATGCATCACAAGTATCCCAGAAGCCTAAATCCCAGATGGCACCGAGTGGCTGGAGGGTGACGTGGCTATTTTTAGCAGCCTGCACAGCCCCAGCTTAGCCAAGTAAAACAGGCTGCTTCAGCTGGAACAAATGATATGGAAATGAAAGACAGAAATGTTTGCATGTTGTGGAAGTGCAACAGAACAAAGAATTCAAAAGCTTAGTCTACACATTGATACACTTTGGGTAAGTTTAGTGCAAATAAGCTGCATTTTTGTAGGTGTCATTGAATTCTTTGAGGGTGAGAAACAAGGCAAACTTTTTTGTGAAATACACTTTCAGGTCATACTGTTTCATTCAAAGCTGGAAAAACTACATGGTGTCCTTTTCAGGTGCTAATGAAGAGTTAAAGCTTCCAATTTTCCTCTTCCTCTTTGGTTGTAAGCAGGAACTCAAGTTGAAGTGAAGGTCACAACTATACCATCAGTGTATTTCCTGTTGACACAAAAAATAGACACACACACACACATAGACTCTGCCTCTCTGAGGTGCTCTTTTTCACCAAATTATGTTTCAAGATGTTCCTATGAATGTCTGTTTCCCTTTACCCATTAAAGCCATGATATTCAGCGGGAAGGAAGCTCCGATTGTTAGGCTTACCCGCTAATAAATCTTATAAGCTCCTTAAATCAGTGCTCTGACTGAAGCCCAAAAAACTCACTTCCACAAAGTCACTCTTATTTAAAAAACAACGTACATTTGTCCTCTTATGCTGTTATAGGAATAGAAAACCTGTATGAGAGAGCTCTGTACATCCGCAAGATCCTCCTTACCATTCCCAGATCGGTCCTGATTGTGATGCGCTATCTCTTCGCCTTCCTCAACCAGTAAGTCATAAACTAACCAGTGAACTCATCAAACTCCTCATTGCTCAAGTCTTAATGGAATGTTGAGCTAACCTCTAGTTGATATGTGTATATTGCTGACATGTTTCCTCCTCCATCGTTTCCTCCCTTTGCAGTCTGTCCCAGTACAGCGATGAAAACATGATGGACCCGTACAACTTGGCCATATGTTTTGGCCCAACGCTCATGCCCACGCCAGACAGCCAAGACCAGGTCTCATGCCAAGCTCACGTGAATGAGATCATTAAGACTATCATCATCCACCACGAGAGCATCTTTCCTGACCCCAAAGAGCTGGATGGGCCTGTCTATGAGAAGTGCATGGCAGGGGGAGACTACTGGTGAGAAGAAAATCCAACATTTAGTGTGTCATGCATTAAATCGCCTTTGGCCTTACTATAGTATTGGATTGAAAGTTGTTTCTCATTATAAGTTAGACTTTTGTGGTGGTACTCAAGTCTCATTAGCTACTGTCCGAGTTGTCAAAACATGCGTTACATATTAGTAAAGGCAAGGGTATAAAACATTCTGATTAAACCCCTTCATGCAGCTGCTCAGAGATCCCAAATGAGATGTAGGTTTAAGAGTTTCACATTCCATTACCGTCAGGGTGAATGGAACAAAGGAATGCAGCCAAACCTTTTCATTTGGATTTCACTAAACTTGTAGGTCTCTCTCGTTAGTGTCTGTGGGGTTGAAAATAGGTAATTATGCTCACTGGAATTAGGGATTAGGCTGCTATGGCTAAGGAACATGACAACGTACTGCATGCATTAGCACAAATTTTACATGTACATCTCTTTAGGTGTGACAGACTGAAACAATTACTCTAATTACGTCAGTCGCAGCAGGAGGAAAAGAGGGGGGCAATGAATAAGCAAAAGGCAGTTCGTACTGAAGTCAAGCGGGTCAAGCGCAAGACTCCTTGCCAGCTCCACATCTGTAAGCAGGGCTTATCACAAGTTTCTTCCTGTCTTTATCAATCTCCGTTGAGGCTGGCGGGTGGGAGGGTTTATCCCGAGCTAGAACTAATCACCCGTCTCAACGTGGCCTTATCCCCTGGCAATGCATACGAAGCCCTCGGGAGATTTGTTGTCTTGGCAGCCTTTCTCTCTCATGCTGACGAGGAGGTGGCTCCTGACATGGCAGCAAGGGACGAGAGGCTCCATTCCTGGCAGAGGTAATCTGCGGAGATGGCTTTGTCGCATTACTGCCAGCTCTCCCAGCACGATGCCAGAAGAGCAGCGTTTAAAAAAAAAAAGTGGGCCAATCACTGACAAGCCCTAAGACTCTCACAGAGCGCAGCATTAATGATGGCTGTTCGAACTCCCCGCGTGACTCATTCACATCATCTTCAGTTGGTGTGGAGATTTCAGGGGGAAGGTGATAAAAGAGTGGAGGAAGAAGAAGGAAGGATGGTACCAAACCACTCAAGGGGCTAGAAAGTGATTTGATCCCTGTTTATGCTGATGTTTTACATGTTTTTTTTCCCCCAGTGAGAGCCCCTACAGTGAGCACGGAGCCCTTGAGGAAGTGGACAATGAGGGCGGGGCAGAGACACACACCAGTGAGGATGGTGAGTTGCAGAGAAGGGTGGCGCAAAGTATGCATTACAACATGTCTTTTTAGACTTTTTCTGTTAAAAGAATTTAGTTCCAAACAAAAATAATTCTAAAAACACTTTTATTTTAACTAAAAAGTTTCATGGTATCACATGAGCTCACACGTTATAGCACTACCCCTTACGCTTTATCCAATTTTCAGCTTTCATCTCTTGTCTGTGGTATTTTGGGGTTTAAACCAAGCTCTTAACAGCTCTGGGTGGCATTGAGTGACCAGGGAACTGGGCTTTAGGAGATGGACAGCCATTCATATTCTAATAGCTCGGATTCTCCCTTGGGGCCTCAGGCCACCTCCACAACCACTTTTCTTTTTTTAAATCCAAGGTGGTCTGCACCCTCATGACCCCTTGGAAAAGAAACATTGTATTTTAAAGGTCTTGGATCCTTTTTTGGGTTCAATTCCCATCACTTTTCTTTTCAGTTTCTTGCCAATAGTCAGTTTTAAGAGCTCTGTAAAATGTATGGAATGTGAAAAAGTTTGCAGCACTCTGAAAATTAAAGGCTGTTTGTGTGTAATTACTTTTTCATTTGTCAAAGATAAATAAGATGAAATGTTACCAACAAAAAAACAGGATGTGAAGACTTTTGGGGACACCAAAGACTTCAGACAAGATGGGATATATAGGGGATCAGCTGTGTGAGCATCCATGTGGTCTGTTGTTTGTGTGAAATGGATTCCATCCAGTCAGGTCCAGTTAAGTACTGGGTGAAACGGTTGAAACCAGATGTTCAGAGGCAGTCAAAAGTTTCTATTTGTTTCGTAATGAAAAGCAGGAAATGTCTATTAAAAGCTTAAAAAAATCTGCCAAGTAGTAATTTCTTTCACAGTGGCTGTGATTCTCTATTTAATGCATTTAGGACTCCCTAAGTAAAAGTTTGTAAAATAACACAAAATGTTAGGGAAATAACTCTAAATTCCAAACTTTTTCATAAAGTTCTTATACCTGATAAAAAACTGACACCTTAGTATGTGGGGATCCTGATGGAACTACTGGAGGATTATATTTTTCTGGAAATCCCTCTCAACCAGCATTTGTTCCAAAAGCCTCTTTGTGCAGACAGGGAGGAGGATGTTCTCACTAACAGGGTCCCTCCCTGTGGAGTCTTGAACTTTGGTCAAGTTATTGTCATTAGTTATTTTTAAATCCTCATGACCTCATTTGGCTCTCAGACACAAAAGCGAACATCTTTTCCTGTTGAGTTACTCGTGCTCTCTTTCTGCAGGCTTTTTTTTTCAGTTTTAGAAAAGTTCAAGATGGCTCTTATTCCTTTCCAACCCCTTTTAACTAATTATATACAATGCTGTCAAGAAAAAAGGGAGGGGTGTAAGTAGTAGTCTGGAAGCTTTTGTCTTATTGGCAAAGTGTTCAATGTTAGAGCTCTTTATCTAAAATAGATAGATGATCATGACAGGCTGCGTTTGCACAGTGGAAAAAGGGAAAAATGGGAAAAATGATTGGCTTATTCTTTATCAAGGTGTAGATGGAAGTTGTGTGAGGTCTTTTAAAAGACATAAACATAAATAGTGCCGCTCATATAGGTGTTCATTTAGCACTGCCTGTTGAACTTGAAAGAAGGTTAGACATTGTAAGACTCAGCATTATTCTGTCATGGACCATGGCTACCATGAAGGCAGATTAACAGCCTGTTACCAGAATGGCTCTTTTCATGCGCCGTCAATACATTAATGTCCCATCTGCTGGTAAATCCACTGCAAGGTCAGAGATGAACAAACCGGCATATTGATTATCTATCAATTTGTGGAATCCATCTGGATGTCCTTGTTGTCAAGTACCCCCACAGGCCCATTGTACATACTGGGTTGTATGTGTTAAATGGAAAGAAAGTGAAAAACAAGTCCTTCCTTTTCCCCAGAGGGAGCCACGTCCACCTCTGTGACTTCTGCAAAGATGAACATTTCTGTTCAGAAAGATCACATAGAGGAAATAATTTGGCACCTTCTTTCCTTGCATTGATCTCAGGCGCATTTCACACCAGGCATCTGCTTCCCTGTTTCTATAAATGAACATTGTAGTGGAGCAGCATTCACACAGACTGCGCTCCACTGGCTTGTGCAAGACGTCTGACAGTTCATATCTCTTATACCACAGGGCTCCAACTCTCACTGTTCCAAATTCTCTTTTCACTCCAGTGTCAGCTTGCATATATGTGTGTGTATGTGTGTCTGACTGTGTTTGTGTGCAACCTTGGAAGGGCTCAGTCTGAAGCAGTTATAATTGTATAACATGACTTGGGAGATCTTTCACCGCACTGAGATTTGAGTCGCTAGTCCTCTGCTTTGAGCCTCGGCCACGTCACTAGCACGTGCGCACCCTGGATAAACATTTGCACATCGGGAAATGGATATACCCAATTGAACGAAAGCTTTAGAAGAAAACAGAGACGGGGAAAAGTCCTCTGCATGGATCAGGCCGCCTGCCTCAGCTTTATTAACGACCTTGTCCACTGTAGTGCAGCCCAATTAATTCAGACAGTAAGTTCCTGCTCGTCACATTTCATCTGAGCCCCATCCCAATCATCCCGTCGGTTCTGACAAGCGAGTGACGCATGGATGATGGAAACTTGAAGGTTGAAGAAAAGATAAAACGAAAAAGAAACCCCAAAAACTCAAATATATATATATATATATATATATATATATACACACACACACACACACACACACTGTATATATCTTATCTATGGGCAGAAATCGTCTTAGGGTGTGGCAGTATCTACCCAGGGACCCCCTGTCTGACTTAAGTGAGAAATAGTGTCAGGAGGAGAGCAGAGGTAGGACTGTGGGAGGAATAAAGATGCTATTTTTAGGTCTGTGTTGCTGTACAGCGTGCATACAGAGTTGGCAAAGTGTACCTTTAGAATACTAAATTTGACTGAAAGTGCTGTTGTGCTCAGACTGGAGCTTTATGTTAGAAAGAGTCTCATGTTTAATGGTTAGTTTTATCTGTGAAAGCCTTCCCAGGTCTCCCTCTGTCTTTCCTTTCCCATTGATTCAGGCCTCTACTTGTAAGGCCATTGAGTAGTTATCACGCCAGGGTAATGATCCAGAGTGATTGACATGCCTCTGAGTCATATAGATCCTCTCTCTCAGGGATCTATAAATATCCTGCTAAAGCTCCTCAGGGCCTGTTGTGGCCCAGGTCAGGTAGAGTTGGGTTACTATTGACCACAACTTGCATAGGAAACTAGCTCAGAACACTTGAACGCCATGTGCTGGAAATGTGCCGTCACGTGTACAAACAAGCGTGATTTTCCAGCATCACCAACACACACTTTTAGGGCAACATGTTTTGCTTTCTGTTCAGCGCTTCAAAAATGTCTGTGTCAGAGATAGTGTCCGTCTGTACTTCATGCAGTTGCCATGTCTGAGATACCTGTTTAATCCTCTTTTTGTTGACAGAGGGCGAGCCAATTGAAGCCATCGCCAAGTTCGACTATGTTGGACGCTCCTCTCGAGAGTTGTCCTTCAAGAAGGGCGCCTCCCTGCTGCTTTACCAGCGGGCGTCTGAAGACTGGTGGGAGGGACGGCACAACGGCATCGATGGCCTGGTGCCACACCAGTACATAGTAGTCCAAGACATGTGAGTGATTTACATATAATTCGTGTTTTAAGCACTGAACTTTGTTGTGTTTTCCCATTTTGTCATGCAGAGTTTGCACACGAAGGAAATACTAACTTGTCAGGGCACCTGTAATGTGCTTTCATACCAAAATTTAGGAAAAACAGGCCAGTAAATATGAACCTGCCAAACACAAAAGCCTTTCTGCACGTTTTCATTTTTTTTTTTTACAAACGTGTTAGAATGTGATTATAAAGACAGAGGCTGTGTTTCTATGTGCTCTGTTGTAGCAACCGCAAATGGACAACTAATTTATCCCACTGGGTTAAACAGCTCACTTGTCCTTGTTTATTTTTCTCCATGAGAGGCTTCAGGCCATCAGCTGGCTGTGGGTCATGCATAGAGCCCCTTCAGCCTCATTTGTCTTACCCATCACCCTCATCCTCGCTCAGCTGAAGAGCGTTCACCATCTCCAGGGTCCTTCACCAGCCCTGCTGTCACCGTCTGGTGCTCTCACACTAACAAGTATACACTCTTGCCTCAGTAACTGTTGGTGTCTAATGGACCGGATTCCCTGTCTCGTTAGGAGTGGAACAGAATCACTCCAATCACTTAGGAGCTGGCTGACAAAATGGCTATTTAGAATTCCTTCTCTCTCCTTCCTCCTCTCTACCCGGCTGCTGTCCCGTCTATCAATAATTCACCGGAAGGGCCACTGCTGATGGGGTGTCTTCTTAGTTAATGAAAGTGCAGGGGAATTTACAGCTGTGCAGGTTGTTGAAACATCCTGCTCTCCTCTTGAACGGGGCCATCCGAGATGTGGGGGGTTACACAGGAGTGGGATTTCCACTTGTCCTGTGAAATAGTCCAGAATAAAAATCCAAAGGGATCAACTGTCAGGCTGCTCCGGCTTCCCTGTGTTTGCCTGTAAGAGTTGTTTACTGCATTAGGGGCTTGTCGTTGCTCTGTTGCTGTCTGTGTGCATTCACTTGGATGAATGCTTAGAGGCTGTCTTTTCCGATGCCGTACACACATGATCAGAGACGGCGGCGCAGGTCTGATTACTGCCAGCCGACAGGCACCAACTGTACCTGGTGTCCAGTCACATACCCAAATGAAATCCATCCAGCTGTCTTGTGCGCGAATGTGTGTGCATCCCCCCACCCCCCTACCCCGCACATCACCAGAATACTGAAAGGCGCAGCACCATGACTCATCTGACTCTCTGGACCTTGAAGGGAAGAGGACACATGCTGACTCACAGGAAAAGGACATCAAACTCCGTTATCGAAGAGCAGTGCAAATACGAGAGATTGACTGATTTGCTGATTTCCCCTTTTTTAAAAAATGTCTGTTCCTTTTGCCTTTTGCGTCTCATTTTCACATTGTGTCTGTTTCTCAGAGATGACAATTTCTCGGACACCCTGAGTCAGAAAGCGGACAGCGAGGCCAGCAGTGGCCATGCCGGAGAGGACAAATGCTCAGGAAAAGACCTCAGCTCTCCCAGCGACACCAGAATCTCCGAGGCCTACATCAGCAGGTGGGTTTCTATGCTGCCATGACCAGCGCTAAGGGACTGAGTTTCCTTTCTTTCAAAATTCAGTATCTGCAGTCTATTACTTCACCTAAAAATAAAGGTGTCAACTCTAAATTCAGCTTTATTTAGATTGTGCAAAATCACAACAATGCCATCTTGAGTTTGCAATTGGTCCAATTTATACACAGCCAATTTGAAAGAAAAGATGACAAGCAAAGGAAACACTCATGATTCAATGAATTCTCTGAAATCCAATCCTCCATCCTAAGCATACACAAGGTGACTGTGGAAAGAAAAAGCTCCATTTCAACAATAACAGACTTCAGGCAGAATCAGACTCAAGGAGGATTATGATTTGTCCCCGAAAGAGAACTCTGATATCAGGAAAGAGTTAGACCGATATTACCTGATCTTCCGCCTGTGGATCCGCATGCTCAGCTCTCCTCTTTAAGTTGAGTTGATGCCGGAGAAGTCAAGATAAGTCTATGTAATCCTCTCTGAGCAGAAAGTTGGATTTGCCACTGTATTTAATAAGTATTTCAATCATCTGAAAGAATTCCCACACAGAGATGAGACAGACATATCTGATCACACCTCGTGTTTTTGGTTGTGTGCCAGTATTTAGTCTCTTTTGCTCTACTCTGGGAGATTCAGCGACCTTGAAATGTCTGACTGCTTCCCCACTCCTGCCAAACACGAACAACTGCTATTTTATTCAGAGCCATCACCACTCCCTGAAATGTTGATGATTCATACTACAGGCAATATTTACACCACTGCAGCTATTGGTGTTCAGATGAAGATCATATCTAAATAAATCATCTTTTTAACCTCAGCTTGTATGTTTCTCGTTATACCCCCTTATTTTCTGTCTACCGCCCCTATCCTCCTGACCTCTCCCAGTTGATCTCCTTTTATCTTTTGTCAACCATAGACTTGGTCTGTTCAAGTGTTGAATCATTCATAAACAGGGCGTCATTTCGATATTTTTCTCACTCACACCGACTAAACAAGTGTAAGTGGGTAGGATGCACCCCGATGTGTTTCAGCCATCGATCAGTTTTCCGGTTTTGGTGCAGAAGCTGTAGGTAGTCCCTTTTATTTATGTCACATCATTACCAAAAGCTATAATAAGCTGAGTGTGAGCCAACTGAGTAAGTTGCAGTGTTTGTTGTTGTTGTACACTCTGTCCCAGAGGGAGGTGGTGTTATGAATGTGCGCTGCTCCACCTGCAGGCACTAGGTGGTTCCTGCACTTGTGTACACTTGCTGCAGTAAAAGAGGAAAACAGCGACTGTGAACAGCCAGAGATGGGAAAAAAAAACTGGGACCACCCTAAAGTCTCTGTGTCTGCTCATTTTTTGCAGCCTGCACCCACACAGATGGCTTTCTTGCTCTTATGCTATCAAATGTCTGGTTTGAGATTTTCTGCATGATTTTGATTACAATCCTCTGTGCAATAATATGATATGATTGGGATGGTTTTAAAGTTTTTTTAGCTTTGCAGGAAGAGCTGATATGCTATTCCTCAAGACCCTCATGGCCCTTTACATCCATGCACATTATTGCTTTTTCTGTACTGAAGTAATGAACTAATGATTATGGCTGAGCCTGCACTCATTATGCAGGGGTAAACTCTCAAATTGAAGCTATTTATCTTTGAAGAGTGATTAAGGGATGAGTAGATAACTTTTTGTTAATTTGAGAACCAATTTCAATCAATATCTGTATTTGCGTCCAGATATTGATTTATTCTTTCAATTTATTTCTTTTTCACAAAACACGAGAAGTAAATTATGTGGATGACTCTGTTGTTTTTTAATAGAGATAATATTCCTTATTTTAACATCACATCAAGAAAAGGATTAAAAAAACTATTTAGTCCATCATGATGTCTCTCGGTCTAAGTGCTGACAGTAGTAATAACAGCTTTGATTAACATTACAGCTCCTGACGCAGACTTCTGTATTGCCACACATAAAATACAGAGGCCATTAGAACCATATTTAGGAAGACATGTTCCTTCATTTGCCTTTTATGGAGCAACAGAAATGCCCCTGGGGAGTAGATGTGACTGTGGAGCAGCACCATGCATAGTCTGTGCGAGCATGAGGGAACGCTGATGAGGTTGCTTCTCTGTTACAGACGTGTGCATGTCAGATGAGGAGTTTATGGTGTAAGCTGGTCCAGGGTCAGAGAGAGGACAGGGCGTGTTGCTGAGGCAGCTCAAACCTCTCATAGGGAGCTTGTCTGGGTCCTTAAATGAACCTCAGGCTTCCTTCCTGTGGCTAACTGCCAGGTCCTCACTACCTCCTTCCAAAAAAGAACTTGGAAATTAAAGGAGTGTGCTAGAAACTGAGATTGATGGGTTTGTGAGTTTTTTTTAAATATTTAAAGCAAGATCAGAAAGAGGACAAGCCTGTTTGGATTTATCAGAGAACATTAAATTAGTTCAATTAATTTCACTTCCAGTTAACGTCCAGCTAAGGAGCTGTCCCCTTAGCTCACAGTACAACAGTGTTTCAACTAAAGGCCCATTTAGGATATCACGTTAAAAAGCATCAGCTGTCATTTTAACAAGCTCTAATGTGGAGCACGGCACATATGAGTAAGCCCATTCTCATTTTTCTTTGTATCCTCCTTTAAAGCAGGCACAGAAAAAGGTGCGACCCACCATCTCGGCGGCCCCCTGCCCGCCCCAGCGACGTCCACTGCATGGTGCATACTTCCCAGCAGGGTCACGGCGGGGCGACGGAGCTGGGCTCACCAGTTCTGGGCCACTTCAGCCCGCGGGACATGCTGCGAAGCCGCAACCACATGCCCATGGACAGCCCTGAGCGCCGCCGCCGCACCGGCCACGGCAGCCTCACCAACATCAGCCGCCACGAGTCCCTCAAGAAGATGGAGAGCCCCCCGATCCGCCGCTCCACCTCCTCGGGCCAGTACACGGGCTTCACCGACGCGCACCACCACCACCACGGCGGCGGCAAGCCCCTGGACCCGGAGACCATCGCACAGGTCAGCGCGGGACGAGCGGCGACCCGACCGCAGCTCCCTCCATCATCAAAGCCCTGCCCCGCCCTGTAAAAACATAGTCAGTCCCTGTCTTCCGCTTCCTCTGGCTGCGACTGTGTGCGTGTGCTAAGTACACTAGCTTCACAGGCAGGCAGCTGGGAGCATAGCTTTAACCGCGGGACTATTTACAGTCGTCTCGCTTTTGACGTTCTCCAAACTTAAAGTCGCTGGAAAAGATAGAAATGTGTTTGGGTTTTGCGCAGAATTTTAGTTTTGCATTTCTCTAATTTGACCACGATCACACGTGCATTCAGTAAAGTCATAAATGGCATCTGTGTAGAGGCTCGGCCAGCATGCAGAGGCCACAGATCACTTTAAACTGTGCTGGGCTGTCTGTCTGCCGCCTAGGAGTATGCTCAGATGAACTTTCTACAACATCTCTGCATCTCCACTGCTATCCAAACTCAATAGAATGCAGTGAAGTGACAGTGTAAAGGAATATATGTTCTAACCCTCTGTGAGTATAATGCATGTTTGGTGTTTACTGTGTTCCTCTGTGATCTGTTTTTGCATGTGTCCTTCCACGTGTCATTCCATTTTTCTCTTACCTACGCTCTTGACATCATCACACCAATGACTTCTATGTGGAACTCTGTCTCTCTCCTGAACCTCATTACCAGTCCTCCGTATTCCTCTCATCTCTTACATGTGCTGTGTTTGTGTCTTGCAGGACATAGAGGAAACTATGAACACGGCTCTGAACGAGCTGCGTGAGCTGGAGCGGCAGAGCTCGGCCAAGCACGCCCCCGACGTGGTGCTGGACACCCTGGAGCAGCGGCAGACCTCCGGCGGCAGCGGCGGGGGCCCCACGCCGGCCAGCTCCAGCGAGTCCCTGAGCCCCATCCACGGCGTCATGCTCCGCTCCACGGCCCACACCGAGCCGCCCATCCGCCGCAGCGCCAGCTCCTCCAGCGACGCCATGAGCACCTTCAAGCCCGTGGTGGCCCCACGCATGGGCGTGCAGCTCAAGCCGCCGGCCCTCAGGCCCAAACCCGTGGTCCTGCCAAAGACCGGCCAGGCCCCACAGCCTCCTGCCGCGTCTGCCCAGGACCCCCTGGACAAGTCCTGCACCATGTGACCCCCCTCAGAGAGGAAGGAAAGATGTGGAGCTTAAATATTAGTCCTCTTCCGGAGGGGATGCGGGGCGATATATTCTGCCAATGTCAACGGTTTTATTGTCCTAGTTCAAATCATTTCTAAAAGCTTGTAAAATTATTTTTTTTTGTAGGGTTTCGAAGCTGAAAACTAGACTGTGTAGAGGACTGGCGTGATCGGAGCGACCTTTAGAGGTTGGAGTAGAAATGTAGACAAATTTGTCAGCCAAACAAATCTCTTGTCTGGATAATGTGCAGGTGTTAATACGCTTAGGTTAATACTATCTAACACATGTGTATTTTAAAACTGAATATGAACAACAAATCACAAAGGCTTCCTCATGAGTGTACAAAAAAGAACCTTTGAGTTTAGTTTCAAAATACTAATGAAGCAAACAAAATACTGTGCATGCGGCGGTTCCGGTTTACCACTAAACCCGAAAGGGAGTTAAAGAAGCTCTGTTGTGACCAAAGTGGCAAAAACTAGATGGTGTTTTTTGCTTTTACCAGGTTGGGGCCCTTGACGGCGTTGTGAATCCCTTGAAAGGCCTTATTAACTTTGAGGTTTAATGGATTTGAAATGTTCATTACTACAATGGTGCTGTGACAAATTGGGCAGATATTGTTTTAAAAGTAGACATAAGGGGCGAGAAGAGCGCTCTACACTTTATTTATTAGCGGTACTCTGTTAATAAATGATAAGTACTGACACCACTATGCTTTCTCTGGGCTGGCGTGTAAAGTGCAGCTCGCATACCGTCAGTTGTTTCGACCTATGAAGTTCAGCCATCTATTTGAACAAATTTCTGTATTGCCTGGAAAGTGATATGATGATTGGATAAAACCACTACTTCATTATGGACTTTGGACATTTCGTTGCATCCTTGAACTCATAATACCGTGTATTTGCCTTTGCATCTGTGTAAACATTAGGGAGAAGTGTGAATAATGCTGATGATGTTTTATGATACAGTTTGGGCCACATGCTATAGTCTTCTGTATGCCTTGCTTAGCTTTATCTACCCAAAGACACGAGTGTATGAGTTAAAGCATGGATGTTGATACTTTATTTTCATTAGTTCTCCCTCAAGGCAGTGCCCCCCTGGGAGTGCTGCCGGTAGCCATGGACCTAATGACTGTTAGTGTAAAAGCCTCCTCGTAGGCTCACTCCTTCTGCTTCTTTCTGTGAGAGCGACTGAAGACCTCATGTTGCGTTGACCCCCTTAAGTCTGTTTTCTTTCATTTTTTTAATGTCCAGGTGAGAATGTTGTTTATGATTTTGTATTGCTCCTGGGCTGGCGTTGAGGCTCTCTGTGTGGATTTACCGATTTGTGTTGATGACATCAAACCACATGATGTGGAACAGGAAGTAGCTTCCCATGTCAGTTTGTTCCTGTCTAACAATTTCAAGATGCAATAGCCTATATAGATAAATAGATAGATAGCCTCTTTAAACTCTTTGTGCCACAGTTCCACACATGTGAGTGCACCCCTGTTTATAACCCCTTGTACTGTAGACATAACACCTGGGTGCATGTCTTTGGAATAAAAGGGTAGCATAATTACATAATAGAGAAAATACCGGGGTTGCAATGATTAAGCAATGTCCTCTAACAGCAGGTTTACACTATTTTTGACTTGACAAATATTGTGTGTATAATAATCAGAAGAATTACTAACTTTCGTTATTTTTATAATCATTTTTATTTGTTGTGTTCCTGGGTAGAAATCACTTAGAGCCTCCGGTGTAGACGAAATATCTAGTGCTGCAGGTGTCCCGCATACAGTTGAAGCCTGTTGTACAAAAGAATGTGCGCCCTTGTCACTATGTAATATCATGAATAGGACTCAGTTTTGCCGCCTGTAGGCTTTGAGCTACTCTGTGGTGTTATGTACATCTGTAGTATGTACTTGTGAAAGTGCCTTTGAAAATGTTTTAGAGGAACTTCAGACATTCGGTCCTGTCTCATTTTCATATTAGATGCTGTGTTTTTGACAAGATGCAGTGCAGGAAATAGACATGATGACAATTTCCAAACAGTTATGAGGCAGAATAAATAATAAACAGCTTACTCGTTGTGACATTGCACTTTTGTGTATATAACTGTAGATACGGCATGTAACATCATAATGTTTTAGAGTTATTTCTCTCAAGGATTTCTTTTGAATAAACATGATAGTTTGTCGAGTCTGGGTTGAATTTTTTCAACTATTTGTATTTGCAAGAAATCATCCATCTATCCGTTTTTGTACCCGCTTATTCCCTAATGGGGTCGAAGAAAGGTACTGGTTCCCCTGGGGACTGGAACCCAGACCCCTCTTCCTGTGAAGTAATGGTGCTGACCACCACGACACCGTGCCGCCCTACAAGAAATCATGTGCTATTTAATTGAATGAAAATTTGTTCTCTTAACGTTGCACTTGTTTCATCTACACCTTTATGTAGCTCCTGGTTAAAGCTTTGTTTGCTTTTATTCTTTGCTAAGTTAAGTGTTGTGTTCTGCTATATGCGGGAGCTTTACAGGAATTTGGTGTTCCCCAGACCTAGTTCCAGGCTCGGCACTGTTTGTGGGAGTCTGAGTGGCTCTGTATTTTCCCCGCTCTCCGGTGTGGGTCTTCAAGGCCATCTAGTGAAAACAGAGATTACAATGTTTTTGGTACTATCACAAATCAGGTAATTTTAAGCCTACTATATAATATAATCAATTATGGACAAGAGGAAAAAGAACTTCAAGATATTGTCCCCCGCAAACAAAATTCTAAGGAGGCGGAATTAATTTGAGAACAGCCGGTTTTGATATCACTTTACCTCAGCAATCCCAACTTTCCTCTCCCAAATGCGAACACTCTGCTTCAGCTTCCTGTGTTTGTCCTTGGCATGCACGTACTCGATGATTTCAGGAGCCCGATAATCTGTGAGCTGCTTGTGCAGATGTCGGTTGAGGGCCTCTGCCTTTGAACGCTCCTGGGGGCCGCAAATGTTTTAGGAGAGAAAGAAGACAGAGTGAGTTTTTTTAATGAACTTACCTCCTTCTTAAGATATTTTCTGGTGATAACGCTTTTTTTTTTTTTTTTACAACAAGGGGGATGCTCCATGTTTAATCATAATAACGAACCCTCTCAGCATGCTGAATGTCCTCCTCAATTTTGTCAAGCATTTGAAGCTTTTTTGTAATGTTGTTGCTCAACTCTGTGGACTCCAGAGTAACACTGTGCAGCTTCTCCTGCTCACAAAAACACAGATGTGAGGTTTTTACAGACTAACTATGCTGCTCAGGTTTTATAAATTCCCACAAGATAACGCAAGAAAACACCATCTGGCTCCTAAATAAATTGAACTTCTGACCTTGTGTGCGTTCAGGTTCTGTTGTGCTTTCAAACAGTTGATTTGAAGTTCATCTAGGTTTCTGTCCATTATGGGTTCACTGTACTCCTGGAAAAATACCTAGATACAACCAACAAAAGTAGGTTTCTACCTGGTTAAACAAAGCATTGATAATCTTGGTTATGGAGATATAAAGCATACAAGTTGTGATGAACATTTACAAGCACACAAAAAAAAGCTGTTGAAATAATTATAGGTTCACTGCTTTCTCATTTCAGTCAAAATCACAATAAATCAGATGGCACCCTTTTCAATCAATCTTACAGACTGAGATTCATTCTCTACCTCATAGTCTGCTTTTTCCAACTCTTTTTTCTGTTGGAGCTGTTGCAGGAGCTTCTTCTCTTGGATCTTCAGCGCCTGATTCTTTAAATGAAACTTCTCTAGCTGGGTAAGCTGTTTTTAGTATCCATACACAACACAAATATGAGAGAAAGAGGACAACGGTGATAACAATCAGCTGTTACTCACATTTAATCCCAAATAAGTTCCAAATATAAACCTTTTTTACTCTAAGAACCATGAATAAAGTGAGAGGTGTCTGACAGATAATACGTGTAAATATAATAAAAATGTTTCACAACTACTAGAAGACTAACAACTTAAAAATTAATAGTTATCACCAGGTATTTTTAAATATCTCAATATTCACTCTACATTCCGTAACATAGGTTGCTTACAGTTAAGAAAATCAAGTTGTTATTTTTTACCTTTTGCTTGTCTTCGAGATACCGAAGCACCTTCTCTGGCTGATTGCCTTCCAGCCGGTCTCCCATAGGTCTTAGAAATCTGCGTTCGAACTTAGTCTTGGCCTTATTTATTTCAGCCAGTCGCAGCTCTGCGTGTTTTATTGATGCCTGGTAAGTAAAGAATAACCCATGTTTATCTAACAAATGTTCTGGGGGTATGACAATAAGTGCACGTCTGTCTGAAGGAGCAGTAAGTAACCTTGTAGTGGTCTTCGATTTTCTCATATTTCTGTTTGAATTTCTCCCGATTTTTCCGAGTCTCTTTTATTTCTCTTTTCGCAACATAAAGTTTTTGCTCCAAGGACAGCAGCTGAGGGTCATCTAACTTTTTGGAACGAGACTTCTGCCTCCATCCAGCATCCTGAGGGCTCAAACAGAATTTAAAAAGGTCTATTGTGAGTGCCGTACAATGAGAGATTCGATTTTGTTGTTAGAACATAGACAAATAATTTCAATGATGTTTAACATTCACATCCTAAATAGGTAATTAAAACCATGTTATAACTTTCCCAACACTCACCCCACCATCCAACTGGGACTCTCCAGCTACCTGTGGAGCTTCTCCTCCAGTCCTGGTGTCCATGTCCAGTTGCTCCAGGCGGGCAATAAATTGTTCAAACATGTCAGTCTCTGCCAGGAGGATGGCATTGGAACACCTTGGGTATAATTCAACATGTGAATGCATATGCTAGCAACATAGCCACTTTTTTTGTTTTTCTTTACTGGCATTGATGGGCCATAGATGATAATGTTGTGACTTAAGGTTACAGGGGGGCACCCCGCCCCTCCCTGAATTTGGTCATTTCAACATTAAGTTTAGTACAAATAATTGTTGTACATCTTCTCTGATTTAAAATAAGTAGTGTTTTATTCAACTAATAAAAACAAAATATAGAAAGAAATGTTTAAGTATTATTCTGCTTATATTGTTAAGCCACAGTTAGCATTAGCGACTAGCTTTAGCATTTTGAACTAAACACTCAAAATCAATCAAAACGAATATGTGCACTATTTAAAAAACATAACGTAAGGCCATTACTTTAGTTCTTTAACCCGATTATAAAGGAGTTCTTTTTCTTCATCGGTGGTCGTCTTGTCTTTTTCGCCGCACGAAGTATCATCCTCCATGGTTGCTAAGGTGAAAGTAATAACATCAGTGGTTGCTATGGACCTGAGATGCCTTCAAGTTCGTCCGTACACAATCCAATTAAAATAAAAAATTAACAACTGTAAAAAGTCGCACCATTCTATCTGCTGTTTTTGTCTATTTTTGTGTTTGTGTTTTACGTAGTTATAAAGTTAAAAACATTCTTAGAACACCAACAAGGAGAAAAAATAATAAACACATGTTTATCTCCCTTTCATGGCCATAATTCCCACGATTGTCCCTGTCACCTTTAGATTTATCAAACGTATGATGGGTTTAAAGCAGGCATTGATTAAAACGGTTTATTTTAACATGAATCCGCCATGAGTTTCGGTTTCATTTCTGTGGAAATAGGCGTCACTAATGCATGATACTGTACTTTGTTGAGCGAGACAGCCATACAGCGCACCTGAAAACCCAAGTAAAACTCTTGTTAGGATGGCGTCGAGTGCCTCAAAGTTAATCCTAAGGACCCTGTGCGATAACCACGGGTGTTTGGACTTTAAGAGACTGAGCGATGAGCTTTTGCGAAGTTCAGTAGAGACAGAAGAACTACGGTCTATTTTATTCGACGACGGTAAAATAGCTATTCGAGAGGGAACAAAGCGGGCCACAGGCGGTCTGATACTCGGCCCAGACAGTCTGGTTGTGGCCAAAACCAGATTGAGGCTCTGTCAAAAGAAACCCGGGCAATGTCAGCACTGCGACGGCTTACATTTGTGCAGGTATTTTGTTTGCGGAGGCTGCACTTTCGGGTAAGTTACCAGCTTGCGCACTTTGTAATTACCAGCTCTTTAACCACAGAGATAATATAGTAGCTCGTGTTCAGGCAGTGAAATTATAATTGAATCTCGTATACAAAGAAAGATCTAAGGACACACAAAGAAAAAAAATGACTCCACTTTGATAACTCTCTCTATTCTGATGGGCGTGCCATGTTACTGTTGTCTCTAATAACCAGTGTTTGCATATAGAAAGTAGGTCACATGGTTTCAGGACCTTTAAACTCCCACGTAGATTTTTTTCCCTTTCAGTGGAAGGTCTTTCCAGGGATTAGTTAAAGCCTAGAGCATCATTTTCATCTGATGATTTAGGTTTCCCGTACTTGATGTAGGCAATTTGATAACAGTTTCACTACAAAGTCATTATGACGTGTTGAGTTTTCTCATGTGCTTTGTGTAAAATGTGTATTGGTACTCTTTTAACAGCATATTTATGGACAATAACATATTAAAAAAGATAGCTAGAAATTATTGGTATATCTATTTTAGTGCTGACAGATGTACTTGATTGTTATCCGCTCTGGAAGACATATTATTTTAGTATTTAACTGTTTTACAAGATTAGAAAAAATCAATGTTTTGAAAATGAATGACCAGCTATAAACAGGCCACACCAAGTACACAGAAAGTTACAACTTTTTAAAAATACATTTGCTAAATCTACAATTTACAAAGTCCATCAACTACGGAGCAAAAAAGGTGATGTGTTTAAATTAAAAGATTTCAAACTTGTTGCTCTGGGATTTTGCTGAGAAAATGGCAGTGCTCCAAAACTCTGGCTATCATCTTCTTATCTGCTCAGTTAAAGTTCTCTCCAGGCCGACAAATGTTGACAGCAAACAGAGCGTCATGAAATCCAAGTGAAGACAGCCTGTACAATGACGTGGTAATTACAATTAGTTAGGAAACGAAAGTTCAACTTTAAAATTCTAATGGTAACAACAAACAAAACCAAACAGTGTGAATGTGGTCCAGCTAGATTCCACAAGGCAACTGAATCATCATCTAATTGCTTTATCCACTGAAAGTTTGACTTAACAGATCTTGTTCTGTCTGTTTTAGACAGAAGTGCAAAAATCAACACAGCCTGGATTGCGCGCACAACGCAGAGCTTTTGAAAAGGCATGACCTTCTCGGTTTGACAGAGAAACAGCTGTTCCAGCTGTTACTGCAGAATGACCCTTACCTGCTTCCTGAGGTTGGTCCGAGTCGGGGATAAAAGTGGAGACTTCATCATCATTTCCTTTTTTTTTCTATCGACAGAAATGATCCTTCTATGTTATTCCCTCTAGGTGTGCCTGCATTACAACAAGGGGGACGGTCCATTCGGGTCTTGCCGATACGCCAGCAGCTGCACCAAGCTTCATGTCTGCCAGCACTTCCTCCAGGGGGACTGTAGGTTTGGCTCGACGTGTAAGAGGTCCCATACGTTTGATACGCAAGGAAGCAAGCTTTTCCGAGGATTTAGCCAGGAGAACCTTCAAAACCTTCCCAATTACTACAGAAATAGATACATTATCACGAATCCACAAGTGCAGGCACCCGTTCTCCGAGGTAAAGGTTTCATTCTGGCATGGCTTTTGTCCCAGGCTGTCAGAATTGTTTAAGACAAGTTGTGTTAACTGTGTGTCCAGTGCTTCCAGAGGCTTCCGGACTCTGCCTCGATCAGGCTGCTTCTCGGCCATCCCACCAGAAGCCCGGATCTCCCACTAGTTCCGGGGCTCCCTCCAAACCCTCGAGTGATGCCGAGAAGAATGAGATCTGCCTGTTTTTCATTCGCAGACAGTGCAGCTACAAAGGTAGCATCATCGTTGACAGACCTCCCCAGTAGCGTCTAAAGCGCAGTAACCCGCCACCAGTGTCCCAACTTGTTTTCCGAATGCCTCTCTTCCCAGAGAAATGCGCCCGTGCCCACTGGCACCTACCGTACAGATGGCAGGTGTTAGACAAAGACGGGGTGACCTGGAAAGACCTGCCCAACATGGAGGATATTGAGAAGGCATACTGTGATCCGGCGTGTGACACCAGCTGCAAGGATCAGATACCAGCTGCCTTAGGGATTTTCAGACTTTTGACTCTTCAAAGGTAGATATTCTCTATTCTTTAGCAGATAAATGTGATAGAGAACAGGGCGTGTAACATGTAACTCAGTAATCCATTAAGGGCGACTAAAGATTTTGGGGAATATGTCCCAGCTCTGTTTCCAGCGTTGAGCAACATGTGGACTTCAAAACGATGACTTATGGAGGGTCTCCGGTTTGTCGCTTGTCGACTGCCTCGTCTGTCTCGAAGCCCCCCCACTTCATTCTGACAACAGAGTGGGTTTGGTATTGGAGGGACGACAGTGGGCTATGGCTGGAGTATGCACAGGTGAGTGGAGCACATATATACACAGGTTACCACCCTTACTCCACTCCACTAGACAACCAGATCTAGCCGGCAGTCTCAAAGGCTAAATATATAACTTAACTTCAACTTATAACACATTTTAAGGTAATCAAACGTCCCATGTCAGGTGGGACAGGCTCTGTACTTGTAAAAGTAAGCAGGCCCCACTAGCTGTTTATTAGGATATGAACATCTAGTATTTTTAGCCTTTTCATCATTGGCTTATTTGAGACAAAAGCTGTCCAATCATTGTGCTCGCTTTAGGATAATGGCGAGAGCACCGTCAGCTCTCAAACCCTGGAGAATTTGTACCTGGCAGACAGAGATACGGAGATTCCTTTCGGAGCCGGCAAGCATCAGTATGTGCTCCACTTTAAAGGAGCGACAGGAGGCCAGCAGATGTATCAGCAAAATATAAAATACCAAACCAGAAGAGAGGTCAGAAGGAGGCCTCGCTTTGTGTCTGCCCATGACGTGCAGGTGACTCTGGGGAGGTAAATAACAAAATACACGTGGCTTGCAATTTGAATATTAGGTTTTTGGATATCTCAGCATCACCAAAAACACTTTCTCTTTGTCTGTTCTCTCTAGGGAGTCATCACATGGCGCCAGCACCTCCAACCCTGAAAACGTCCCATCCTACTGGGACAAGAAAGCTCTGCCCGAGTACGGATACAAGGTGTCTTTCTCAGATAAACGTTATCTGTCGCGATTGGTATTTCGTTCCACTTTGTCATCTTCTCTGCCCTGCTCTCTGTTACAGCTCGTGTCACTGACGAAATCTGCACAAGATTACAGTATGATTGAGAAACTATTTAAGCAGACTATGCCACAGAGTAAAATCAGCAGCATTGAGAGGATCCAGAACCCCTCTCTGTGGAAGGTCTTTCAGTGGTAAGTCTCTTTATAATATTTTTTTTATTCTAATGTTTTATCAGGACTGCAGATACCAGTCTAAACTAAATATGAAACTACTGCCTGTACAGACTGGAGAGACTTTCAGTTGCATTTCTGTGAAAGGGAAGCAAGGAAACACCTTATATGTTACCTCCCAATACTCTGACGATAATAACTTTTAGTCTAGCTGTTCAGATTATTGGTGAATTTGCTGCGTGTACACTCATTTTAAGCCTAGTTGTGGCGCCTATTTTACGATGTTTCATGCTTCTTATTCAGGCAGAAAGAGCAGATGCAAAAGAGGAATAATGGGAAACCTGTCGATCAAATGTACTTGTTCCACGGAACAAGCGAGACTTGGGTATCTGCCATATGTGAGCAAAACTTTGACTGGAGGATGTGCGGTGTCCACGGCACAGCTTATGGCAAAGGTACTGTAAAGCAGCTCCTGCTGATACACCGAACTGTGTTTAAAACACCGACGAGACTCATCCCTGTTTCTTTTTTTTCTTCTTTTCTCCTGTGTAGGGAGCTACTTTGCCAAAAATGCATCCTACTCAGACAGATACTCCCGTGCCAGCGGCAGCCTGAACAAGATCATGTTTGTTGCTTTGGTCTTGGTGGGGCACCACACAAAGGGAAGCAGCAGCTACGTCAAACCGCCAGCGAAAGGAAGCAGCAGGGATTTCTATGACAGCTGCGTTGATAATGAGAGAGACCCCGGCATTTATGTTATCTTCGAAAAACAGCAGATTTACCCAGAGTATCTGATTAAGTATGTGTAAGTAAAACTTCTCCTTTTAGTGAGGGGTGGTTCTTTATGGTGGTTCTTTAAGGATTTAAAAGTTCAAATGGTAATATTTCATATTGTTAGATATGATGCAATATGATGTTAGATGCAAAGGGCTACTTTGGGTGTGACGGTATAGTAAGACGATCAATTAGTGTTCAAGCCTCAGGGTACAGTCTCTTGATTGCTTTATCTCTTATTTCCTCATCATACATCTATACAAGAATCAAGGTTAAATGCAAAGGTTGAAGTACTTTTTTTTCAGTAAACCAGTGTCAGTTGAAGAGCTCATAGGGGAAAGGCCAGCATGTAGTATATATGGTTATGTTCTGGCCCTTTTCAGTCAAAGAAAAGGAGCAGCTTCAGTTGATGCCAATATCAAATTTGTTTGTTTGTTTGTTTTTTTCTTAAGATAGGTTGAAGACATTATAGATATTCTACAAACCAATACGTTGATTGAAAAATACAGGGAATAGGTATCCGTGACTGTCAGAATGGGTCAAATACTTTTTTTTTTTAATGCAAAGCCGAGCTTTTCTGTGACATATATACTTACTCTAACTTCCTTTTCCAGTAAAAATGTAGACACAAAGAAGAAATTTTTTAAACGTATGTAGACACGGCATGATTGTTGCTGGTTCATCCAAAATAAAAATAACAATGTGGGTGTTGGATTGTTTAACCCTAACAACCCAAATTATTAGCAGTAAAAATATCATTGTCATGTTAAAAATGTCAAAAAAGAGGAAAAGGTAGGAAAAAAGAGGAGTGAACTTGTGTTGGGGGCCGGAACTTCCTGTGTGGGCCTTCCTGTGGTTAAAACACCTGCGTGAGACCGTCTCTCAGCCTAGCAGGTTCAGCTCATGGTCCAATCACCAGATACACAACTGGTAAGGAGGAAATTAAGTTAGTTATTAAGATATTGTTTATTGAAAGGTAGAAGTTGAGTTGGAAGATGTTGTAGTATGGTTTGTGGCCTAATGTTCCGTTTATAGTGTGCTTATGGTTGTGCCACAGTAAAAATGTTTGATTTAAAAATGTTTTTTTGAACTAATTCAACTTCTGTTTGTCAATTTACTTTAGAAAGGTTTTCAACCTAATCCTAATTCCAGTCCTAAATCTTTCGAAAATCTGATCAAATTCAACAAATAAAACACAATGGAAAAGGATTTGAATTGTGCCTAGTGTCCTTTTTGGTGATGACCAGCCATTTGTCAAGTTTGGGCAGGAGCTGAAGCTAGAAACCAGACATAACTTGACAATCACAAAATGAAATATTTTCCGGGACATTTCAGTCACACTGAGTACAGTCAGTAAAACATCAATATTTTTATCAATACATTTATCAAAACATTTGGGTATTTAAATAAATCTTTTAAACTTTGTGTTCCCAAAAATGTTCCTTTTCATCCCATATCTCCAAAAAAATCCTCCTACCAGAATGGAGGATTCTGAAGGTGACAGTTGATCCAGTGTTCAGGTGAAGGATAGAAGTTAGGGTTTGTTGTGAGCCTTACAAAATGATGTCTCACAAGATAATGTTTAATGTCTTTATTTTCACAGAGCATCTCAGAACAATTTGTTACATTTCACTTATTTTAAATATGTCATTCCAACAGTCCCTATATTACCTGTTTCATGGAAACGTTTAAATGAATCATCAGCAAATCCCTCTCATTGTGTACATTCAGAGATAAAATCTATTATCTATCATCACATTCTTCTCTACAGGTCAAAATGTGCGACAAATAGTTACATTTGTGAATTAACTGATTAAGTAACTGATTAAATAATGACAAACTGAACTCCTATGCCTCACAGTTCTTCCCAATACTGAGAAGAGTCCTATTCTGAATGATGAAATCTTTGAAGATTTAATTGACCTTTTTGTTTTTTGTCAGTAACAGAAATGATTGGTCCATGGCAGACTCAAAAAAACAATATGTGCGCTTCTTATGTCAGTAAAACTCATTTTCACATCAAAATCACGTCGCTGTACTGTTCTTCCATTATTTCATCGGAAAGTTTTACACACCTATATGTACAGAAATCTTTTCTAAAACTTGGGGTCCACCCCCAATCAACACACTTTTGATTGACTCTGGATTTGATCCATGAAGAATTAATTGTGTAACATTCAGTTAAAGAGCTTAAAGGGGTATTTAGACACAGAATGTACAAACTACTATCTTAAAGTCAAAGACCAAATCTGATGAGCTGATGAGCTCCGCATTTTAGTTTTAGTTTGATCATTGTATAAGTGTTGATTACCTTATACAGCGTTTCAAGATCTACAATAATTTAATCAATTAAATGAAAAGTAAAACTTGTGCAAAAGTGCAAACAGAAAATTACATTTTGTTACAATGATAAACTGCTTTGCTGTGTATAAAGAGGCCACAGGTGAACATCTGTAGAATTCCACTGTTCAGCATTATTTACTTCCTATGCACAAAATGGGTCTTATATTAGTTTCTGAGCATCTTTTTTTTCAAGATTAAGGAAATTCCTTAGTTCTTGGCAGCTAGCGTGTTCAGGTTTAGTTGTTTAGTTTCATGTGATATCTTTCAACTTTTTTTAAAGCAAAATCAAGAGGAGGGATATTTTCTTAGAAAGCTTTGAGCTCGTATTATGATCATTATTGCAGCGACTTAATGATGAGGTCATATTTCTGTCCAGGAACCCAAAAATCAAGGTGTGCAGAGTTTCAGCAACAGCGCAAATATCATTAAGTAAACTGAGAAGGAAAATTGTTGAACGGCTGAAACTACAGCATTACCCGGGAGGATGTTTTGCATGATTTCAGGGATTCTTCCACCTCCAAAGAGGATTAAAAGTGGAGATTCTATTCATCTGGTGAAGTGTCCTCTCGTCCTTGACCTCCATCTCTTCTTATGATTTTAACAAATATGCCATTTTTGGGTCCAAGCGTGCTTGACGATTTCAACTCGAGAGGAACCTGAGAGATGAAAATCATTCAGAAAAATAGTAAATTTAGTTTTTCCTATAGTTTTTTTTCTCTGTTGAATGACAACATCTTTGGAGCAAAAATCCTATGCTGCAGCTAATTTGACCCAAAACATAAACTCCTCCCAAATTAGTTGTTTCGTTACAAATCACAAATTTATTATGCAGTAATAGAGATTTTCTTTAGCAAAGATGCTCAATGAATTTCGGGTAGCATTCTTTTGTTCTGCTGAACCAACCCACCTTGGTCTCGGCACAGGTCACGATGCTGAACCTGTGGAATAGATGCACTAAGGCGATTCGGATTTCCAGCTGTGCCAGCCTCATCCCCACACAGTTACGGGGTCCAGCCCCAAATGGGAGGTACACAAAGGGGTGGCGTCCGGCCTTCGCCTCCGGTGTAAACCTGCCAGTTTTAAGATAGATCCTCTGTTAAAACTTCAATCTATACAGCTGTAAATCGTATATACAGGTTAGTCAGTGGAACTTTAGTTACATAGTTATAAATCAGTGCCCTTGTTTCATGCTCATTTCTTAGTATTTGATGGTTGTGCTGTCAGGTTTGGAGCAGGTCTGAACGAAACCCGGTTGAGAAATGAGGAATTAGAGAAGGCTGAAACACCTCTCTGGGATGAACTTCTCTGGCTCGGGCCAGTGCTCGGCGTCATAATGGAGGAAGCCTGCTGGGATCTCCAATGTCGCCCCTTTGGGAAGGAACTGGCCATTCACCACACAGTCATGGTCGATGTCTCGCGCAAATCTTAACAGTACAAAATAGATAGATAAAATAGATAAAATTAGATATGAGATAATAGATGAGATTAGTTCTTCGGTTCAGAATAAAACTTATTTCCCCTTCGTTCATACAGTTTGAGACAATTGACATTTTCACATTTACCTGAATCCAGGAGGGTAGAGCCGCAGGGCCTCGCACACAACCATGTCCAAATACTTCAGCTCCTGGACGTTCATGTAATCTGGTGAATCCTAAAAAACCAAACAAACCCATAGCCTGATTTAACCAACAGCTGTCTGGTGGTCACTGCAAATAAGGCAAAACAGAAGAGACTCACGTGTCGGGTGAAGAAGTCGTCCACCTCGTCGTGGACCTTTTGCTGGCATTCGGGGTTGAGCGCCAGCAGGTAGCAGGTGAAGGCTAACGTGTTGCTGCTGGTCTCGTAGCCTGCCAGGAGGAAGACGAAAGCCTGACCCACCACCTCGTCCTCGGTCATCATCTTTTTCTGGGGACGTCTGACGGGGGACTCCTGCGGTTGAGGGCGGCCGTTTTCCTGATCCGAGGCCGCCGCCGTCTGGTGGCGCCTTTGTTCGCCGTCGTGGGTGTGGCTCCCCGTGTCAAAGTGCTCCAGAGAGGCGGACTCTTTGCTGGTTCGAGCGTCTAACATCAGCTGCAGAAAGTCTCTGCGCCTCTGCGAGAAAAGTCATCACGAATCAAACGTGGAAAGCTGAACCCCAGAAAAAGCTGCGTACAAAAGTCTGACATCATTAAACACTGATCGATGCCTTACCTGACTAGGAGGCTGTTCCTCTCTCTGTTTGATGATCTGCTGAATGCTGTTGATGAAGAAAGAATTCATCTGGTCTCGTCTTTTATTTGGGATGAATCTTGCCAGAGGACCCATGATGGTAGGAAACGCAACTGCACACACAAACAGAAAAGAAAGAAAAGAAGAGGATTTTATCCACATGTTGAGGACAAGGCCTTGACAAAAAAATAATCATCTTGTTCCTGACTTTCTGAAACTGAAATTTCAAACAAAACGAAAACTTCCAGGTAATTTGGCAGCTCGGCATGAAGTTCCATCTTTGTATCACAGAACACCTTTATTCCTAAGCCTAAATAATAATGGGATTATCACATTTAATGTCAAATCTACATCTATCTGTATGCGAAAGTAAACTCACTAAAAAACAACATGATGGGCCTAAAGAAAGAAAAGGTAAAGAACATCTGGGCGTGGCGGACAAACGGGTCATCCGGGTTGTTCTGAGAGTCCACCTGTGTTGCAAATGCCACACTGGCAATAACATCCATTGTAAAGCAGCCAAAACATCTACAAAAACAAACAAACAAGAGATTAAAATGTGAAATCCAAGAAAAAGAAAAAAGACAAAACTCAACACTCAGTTGTACAATCACCTGTGGATGTCAAAGGCTTCTCCGGACTCAGCGTGCACGCTCAGGTTCTTCATCAGTGCGTCGGTGGCCGTGTTGATGAGCGGAACCATCTGCAGCACACAGGGAGATATGGACACCGCTCGTGATTACAGAGCTCTCAATGGTGGGAAAACAGGACAAACGTTCCCTGAAAAACGCTGCTTTCAATGATTCTTATGCACAGACCAAACAGGGAACGGGACACGACAAGAACAGCAACTTACATGACAGAGCTGGAAAAAAAAATCAATGAGACAAAAAAAAGGAGAATTGCTAAATAAAATATAAATAATGTCATTCACTTTGATTGCAAACATGGGAACCCAAAACAAAGTTAAATGTAATGTATATAAACTTAACTTTCTATTACAAATAACATTATTAGCTGAATCATATTTTTGGTATCATTATTATTATATTATTAATATTATATTATTAGCTGAATTGTTTACTGAATGCAATATAAATGAGTTAAAGACAAAGAAGGTAAACACTGTTGAATACATCAGCTTTTTTTTCTCTCACTTCTTTCATCTTAGCAGCACTGAAGGACGGGGTCAGGATGCTCCGCACTCTCTTCCACTGTTCATTCCTTAACATGAGCAGACAGTCAGTCATCGGCTTGCTGGCAAATCGAATAGTCTGCACAGAAAAGGAACCAAAAATATTGACAGTACCGGTACATACATGTTAATCATAATACATTAAAGAGGATGTTAGCCACTGGTTAATGTTCTCACCATTCTGTTCGGGAAGCTACTGAACTCCCTGACCATGATCTCTCTGAGCATGTCAGGATCTGCTACCACGACCACTGGTCTCCGGCCCAAATAATACCTGAAATGTACCAAGAAATCCAAATCTTCAACTTCAGATCCCCTTCATTTCATTGCCATGACGTTATTCGAATTAAAAGCTGATCAGAAATGTACCTACTTACCCACATACTCTTCCGTATGTCTTTATAATATCGTTAATCGGTCTGAAAAAACCCTGAAATGAATTTTAAAAAGCATCATGAGACTAACAATAAAATCAGCTGTAAAACTATTTCATTTAGAAAAGCACCACGTAATGGCTGCATACAAAACTGGATCAGCAAGAGAGAAGGTTTAATACAATACATAAAAAGGCGATTCTGAACCTCACCTCACGAAACAGGAATATGTTTCCATAGAATGGCACCGGCTTTGGGTGCTTGATACCACATTGAGAGAGAACTGAGTATGGATAAACCGAATACCTGCAGGCAAAACAGGAAGAAAGTTTTCTTAGAACATATGAGTAAATACAGCTCAGATCGGAAAGCACGAACATGGATGGGTTCACTTTAACAGCAGCAACAATTTGACCTGCAGACATACAGACACTCACTTACCAGTAGAGGAGAACCAGAAAAATGAGGAAGAGGCTGAGAGTCACAGAAAAACTGCTGACTTCGACATTGAAGACATTTAGAAGGACACCAACTGACTCCATGGTTATTATTCTAGCGTCAACATAATAAGGATCTATAAGAAAAAAAGAAAACAGAAGAGGTCAGTTTAGTGGATAATAGATCTTAACATAAGTCAGTGACAAGTAACACTGTCCTGAACCCTAAATTCCTAATAAAAAGGTTCATCTATTGGACTGAAAATGCATAACCTGTATAGATTAGCTGACTGGTTCCTCTGTGGACGTGTTAATAATTGACAGTTGAATTTGAGTTAAATGCTCTCTGTATTCTCCTGACGCACATCATGGAAACATAAAACAGGCTCTTAAGTTTCTTGGCACATTCTCTGCCATTTAAGAAATCTGAAAAAGGTGTTTGCCTGGTCTGTTAAAGGTTTACCTAACCACGCATTCAATAACCTTTAAAAGCTTTAGAACAAAATCAACTGTGTCATGAATCAGCAAAAACATGGTCTAAATCCATCTGAGCAGAACAGGGGGGTTAGTGTTTGGAAGTATAAGGGAATGGGATCAAATCTGGAGAGATTAGGAGATATTCCCAAATTCCACCTCCACTTTAAACGAGGTCAGGATCATTCCTGTGGGATCCTGTTTACACCAGTCAGTGTATCGACAAAAACAACAATAAAAAAGAGTGACAAACCAGCCACAAAGCAGCTCCTTAAACAAAGCCTGAAACAATAGGTTTAAAACTGACAGGTAGGTCACTGATGCTAGGCTATCTGGACATTTAAATGGAGCAGGCTGTCCAAAAGGGACATTTCTGTTGTACGTCGTGTAACATTAGCTGTGTAGCAACATGTGCTCTATTCTTGTATGTCGAAAGAAAACCTGTCAAATTAACGTTGAGGAAACGCTCATGAGAACTCACCTTAAACTCCACTTCCCTGGTGTAAATATTATCAAACAGCTGTCTTCCTCTGCTGGCCGCTGGCTCGTCACGCAGCTGAGAGCTGTGGTGCACACTGCCACCACCTGTACGGAAAGGGAATTACATGACTGAGGAGGAAACCCCGTAAGGGTCTGGTCTTCATCCTCCCTCATCCCTGTGGATGGATTTTGGAACAATGGATTTTGGATACAGTCATTTAAATTACACATTACTCGTGCAACCTAAAGATAGGAGGAAATAAACGGTTATCTATTTTTTTTTTGTTGCAGTGCCTAAATAATCTATTTATTTTAATTTTGGTTGTTTTACTACTCTAACTCTTTTTTTTTGTTCCATTTTAAATGTAGTCGCTTTATATGCTCTTTGATTATCTTTTGCACCTAGTTTCAAAATTTCTGTTTGTGGTAATTTTATATTTTCATGCGTTGGTTCTAAATATCTAATTTTTACAATAGATGTTTTTTCAATTTCATGCCCCCCCCGAATAGTTTTTAATCCTCATCTGGCTTGGGGGTTGTGTCCTATGCTCTTGGGAGGATAGAGGGCAATGCCTCTCATCAGCTGCATCCGGCAGAGTCTGCGAGATACATCAGCTCATGGAATGTGGAAGAGTCAGCACATCAGCTGAGCATCTGCTGTTCCAACATGACTAAAACTGCTGTTGTATGAAAAGCAGGGACGGTGATTTAGGTGGCAATGTATAGAAGTAAACTGGAATGATTTCCCACTGTTCACCTTTTACATTTTTTTTGGTTTAATAAACTGTTTTTAAAGGTTTGTCTTTTTTTCATTTTACAAAAAAATGTTTCTTTAATCTTTTTTCCTTAAGGACTTACAGAAAATGTATCGTATGTTAACTTTAAGTCTAAGTCTTTTATTCAATTTAATTTACACAAATTGATCAAAGTGAAGAAATGCAAAGATAACTAATAATGTATAGCTCTTTAATGCATTGGAAAAAGCTTTAGCATATCCCCCATTATGCTAATTACATTGACTTTGACTTCGCTGTGAAAGGATCATAAAGCTGCCCATTGCAGTTCCTTCGTTTGTCTACAGAGTGCACTCACACACCATACTATTTTCTTTGGACCGGCAAAGCTCCACAAGAGTTTTTTTTTTCATTCCTTATATATTTTAATATTGGACTAAATCTGTTGGGGGAAATATTCTGAATCTACCCACACGCAGTAAAATAACAGCACAAACAGAGATTAAAAACAAACCTTCATTTTATCAATACATGAACTTTGACACATGTCACCCCCTGTAAGGGAAACAGGTAGCCAAACCTCATGTCTGCAGAAGGAAAAAATGTTGTTTCATTAAAAAAAAGATCTCCACACATCTGTCAAACATATTTTCTGAAATAACGTAAAATTATCGGAACAAGACTGTTTCATTTTTTTTAATTTGGCAGTGTTGTCATTCAAATCAGCTTAATTCACATTTAAGAAAAAAAATCCTTTCTCATGCCAGAGTTAGGATGTTCAAACCACAAACTGTTTCCTGTGGCAAATAAGATTTTGGTCACCAAATTTGTCCAGCTTGACGCATTTCTGGTCAGCCTGACAGTTGGAAAAAGTTTTTAATGTAATGCAAAGTCATAAATTGGTGTGACTCAAGTCGCCGATGTTGCAGTGTGGCCATTCCCACGAGCCTGCCTCTCAACAAACCACTGATATGATCGTTTCAGCTGGAGGACTGGTTGGCCTCCCAGGAAATGTGCCAGATCCAAGTGGGCCATTTGAATTCAAACGAAATAGTGCCCCACTTATGCAGTCTGTTCCTTATCTTGCTCATTTGAGGCCTTAAACAAAGCAGACGTTGCAACAGCAAAGTGTTGATCCGTCAGCATCTTTCTACTCATAAACGAATCACAGGGTTTACAGTGTGCAAAGTGCCTTCTGAACTGATCACTGCATGTTGCACGTCAGCTCTTTAACTGGCAGATCATCTATACTCACAATCGTTTTCAAAGGCTGTACATCAATAAGGATCAGAAAACATGCTCAGCAGAACTCAGACGTGCTATTTACAGTCAAGCTCTTTAAAAACATGATAAACAAAAGGGTTAAAAAATTGTTGGAGACAAAGCTACAGAACACATGGAGATAATATATAGAGGCAGAGGAGGCATTCTTGCAGTTTTCATTCTAACAAAGCGCAGATGCACAATATTTCTGGTCTGGTAAACATGTGACATCCTTAGCGTGGTATGCAGCCAGGCAGGAATAACAAGGGGAGCTGGAGCGGCACTAAGCTATTAATGGAAAGACTAGCTTAGGAAGAAAGTAGGAGTTGGTTTGGTATCGCCAGCTCTGAGGACCGCCAGAGGGCTCTGGGAGCCCGAAATGAAACATGATGGAGACCTTTGCTGCCCCTCTCCTACCAGTCTCAACCTTTCCGACTGCCTCAAGCCACACAGTGTTAAAGTTTGGTGCTTGGCTGATCGCAATATGAATGGAATAATGAAGAAATTATAGTGACTATAGGCATACCTGAGCAAGCTGGAGCCATTTATTGGTCATTTTGGAGTTGGCTTGACACTCATGTTCAAAAAGATGTGTGCATATGTTCACTCTTGAACACATTTATTTTTTACCTCCAGACAATTTTAAGTAAATCACATTCTCAATCAGCTCAATCTAGAGGAAAGACTTTTAAAGGGTAAAACACCTGCAGGAGGGTCTCCATCATACACTGAATCACAGCCTGCTGTTGCACTCTGCCCTTTTTGTCAGTGTTTGTCTTTGTTGGCAGTAAAGACAAGAAAAACAACAATCCAATAGATATCACGCATGTCAAGTTTCTTCGCCAGATTAAATCATCTGTTGTCTAAACGAACAAAAAAACAAAACAAAACAAAAAGAAATGGACTTACACCCAAGCACTTCAGTCACAAATAAAACATCTCTATTCCTGAAATTTATGAAAAATGAGTAGCCCTCGAGCTACAGTATTTCAGTTTTTAAAAATATTCACATAACCACCCATATGTATAAGCACTCTGACTTGTTAAATAACGGCACAAAAGTGGCACAACGCTGAAGATGAAGAGTTAAGATTGTTTGAAACCTTCAGATCTGTAGTATAAATGTTTTGTTTTTTAATTTTGCACGTTTTAAAAGGTTAAGAAAGTCCCTTATTCTTTCTTGGACTGAATCCTCATTATAAAGACAAACATATGCCACTTAAAGCGGAAGAACACCGTTTTCTAGGAGGAAGAGAAAAAAAAAGCTCAAAGCTCCAGCAGGTTTTCTTAAATGCAAGGAAATCTCTACCATCCTGTCTTTTGTGAACATAAACAACAAATATTCATTACCTGACAGGCAATGTATTAAATAATGTCTGACAGGTCAAAGCAATCCAGTGAAATTCCCAGCTTATATCTATTTTCAGACTGGTTAACTCTAAAACCTCAAAGCATACTCAAGTGTCACCAAGTCAGAATATCAAACACCCATTAATGCTTAGTTTAACTTCATCTCTTTAGAATGAGGTTAATTAATAAGGGCATAAAATTACAGACATTTCAATGGTTTTCTGTCCTCCGAGTTGAAGGGTCCTTAATTCCATTTTGCCTTCAATCTATCCTAGAAAAAGCTTCAGTTCGATGGAAATGTAAACAGGCAATTACCCTGCAAACATTGTGAACTATAGTGGCCCTCCTTTTCATGCCTGATTTGTCTTTTTTGTGTCTGGCCTCCTTCTTCCTTTGTCCTGACTCCCATTCCAGTCGTTACTAGCTTGGCTTCCTGGCCTTGACTGTTGGGGCTCCAGCCTCATCCGGGTTTATTTACATTACACTACGTCTGATTTGAATGAGGCCTGCTGAGAGATGAAAAACACAGACAATGGATGCAAAGGGTGCAGTTTAAAGCCGAGCTCTGGATTGGAACTCCCGGTTACATGTCTCTTATATTCACCCCGACCACCAAGTGTTTTCACAATTAAACCAAATGCAAATAAAATGTTTGTGATCTTTAGAGAGGTAGAAACGGACAGAGCACAGATGTGAAATTAAAGTTGGCACGGTAAGGACGAAAGGTGGTAATGTACAATGTAACAATATGTTCATGTTACTGAAAACCTTTCCCTGAAAATCTTTAATCTCTAATGTCATGTCACGTCAACCCCAGGTATCAGTTGGAAAATAACTGTTGACATAAAGGTTAAAAAAAAGAGATAAACTAGTCGACTCAAGAAACATAACACACGTATATATATATTTATATATTTACATTGATAATTTGCCCTGATTCATCGTCCTTCTATCTGGATTTTTTCTCCACATTTTGTGTTGCCTGGGTTTTCCATGCTGTCAGTCTTCACTCTTTCGTTTTCTTTCATTACTCTGCTTCAGTGACCTTCTTGTTAACCGATTCAAAGCCTTTAGTCTGATCCCATTTATGCTTAAACTCATCTCTCCCTCCACCCTTCTTGATGCTTGCAGGAATTTCATCAAAAGTCTGCCTCTTCCAACCACGCTCGTCCAACGTCACTGTCTGGACTCCTGAGGATCGCATCCTAACTTTTTTGTGTTGGCAGGGTCTGAACCCTGCAGTCGAGCTCCATCAGGGACTCATCACCAGACACACATCGTCCAATCTTTTGTCATTAGATTTGATTCCACTCTTTTGGCTGGATTTTCTTCTTTTTAAATTAAAGATCCAGATAGGTGACATGCGATCTGCTCAAAGTTTTCTGCTCGGTTAAAAGCCAATAAAATGATTTTCTTTCTTAACAGTCATAAAATATGAACGTATCTTTCATTGGATTTTTCACAACAGTTTTACAAATGAAAAGATCTCAGGTGTTTGAGTTTAACTATGATTCAAACCATGAAAGTTGTGATAGTGGAAAATAAAAAAACCCTTCAGATCTCCAGTAATGTCATCGTTATGTGTTTTATGTGCTTGGTTTAATGTGTTTAGTCATCAGTTTGCTGCTAACACCAACTTTCAGTTTCTTTCAGAGGCCCATCAAGCCACACAAAAAGTTACAGAAATATGACTAGTCACAGAAGTTGTCAA